ATTCTCCACGTAGCATTGTACATAGCACCTAATCAACGCTCCTCTTTGAGCCCTCGACCTCTCGCGTGTAGCGCTATCGTGACACGAGCCTGCGCCCAGGACAACCGTTTAATTAATTACTTTCGATTAATCAATTAAATCGATTAAATACTTAGCGTTTCGATCGATCGATTAAGGCTTCGTAGGATTGTCGATCGATTGATTAGAAAGGCCCTAATTAATTGAAGATCGAAGTGGTTAAAGTAATCGAAGTTATATAATATTCGTAATAGGAATTTAGGTGTTTATAATCAAATATACGCGTGATATACTAATATTTACACAGCACCGGGCTAGCATAACATTTATCTGTATAACTCTACAGCGCTAAGCGCACAGATTCTTTACAATGGCTGCATAGCTAGCTATACTGCTGCTATTACTGCTATCACCGCTATTACTACTGTTATCCTTATCGTTATGCCTCCCCGCGCTCAACGGCCTGCCGGCCGGCAGGGTTGTTATGGTCAGCGTCCTCCGTATTATGAAGCACGACACCCTGGTGCAAATCCTCTGCCCGCTGCTGCTGCTGCTGCTGCTGCTGCTGCGAACGAATACGACATTCCTCCGCGTCCTGTGCGCCCTCCAACCGATGAGAATCATACAATCTATCTAAATAATAGCAACAACGCGGAGGCAGATGGCGATACAGATAGCGGCACAGATGCAGATAGCAATGCGGATAGCGATGTAGATGCTGATGCTGATACTAATGCAGAGGCCGTTCGCCAGCATTATCAACGCCAACAGGACGAAGCTGCTGCGCAGCTGTCGTATGCAACGTCCTATAATAGCTGCAACTGGGCACGGCTTCCTGGATATTAACAGCCGTTTCAAATTTTATATACGCGATTTGGGGAAGTCTGGGGGTATGGTCTAACAGCTTCTATAGCTTGCCAACACCAGTAGGGCTAGGTGTTATAAATGAGTATACACGGTGGCTTGCCAGGGAAGCACATAAGGACAATATAGAAGCGACAGATCTAATAGAGTATTAGAAATCAAGGATCACCGGCACCCAGTTTCCCCGCCTTGCACGTATGGCTCTTAATTGTATGTCAGCTCCTGCTATAAGTACATTTAACGAACGAGACTTTAACCAAACAAAGGCCATATAGGAGGGGAGATCTGCCTTATTCGCAGATGTTGTTGGAGGGTGTATTGCCATGGCATCATGGGACAAAGAAGGCCTCATCAACATGCTAGACGAAGGCCTCGTGCGTGGAAACCACAAAAGGCGGCGCGCTGATACAGTTAAGGATGATAACGTACTTAATACAGTTAAACTTAATGCTTAGAGGGAGGCTGGAGACATTAAGGAAGACGATCTGTATAGATAGGAACTCAACACCAAAAATTCCATCTTGCCAAGCATCACAACTTCAACCATATCGATCAATCGATCAGTTGATCGATCGAACGGTAGTCCTGCCTGCGCCTAACGCGACGATATCCCGACGCAAACATATACAGCAGAGGCGCGCAAGGAAGTTACAAGTTATGGTTAATACCCTAAAATGAGAAGGGTGGCACAAAATCCTTAAACAACAGAGAAGTCTGGAGCATAATCCAATGCAGGCAAAGGTTAATAACATTATGCTGCAGGTTGACATTGCTTATACACCCTGCCTCCCGGATAACAATCGGCAACTCCTCAACGCTCATGTCCCGAATTGACGCAAGGGCATCTGGAATAGAACCACGAAATATAGGCTCCGGCGTAGGCTCCGGCGTAGGCTCTGCTGTAGGCTCTGCTGTAGGCTCTGCTGTAGGCTCTGCTATAGGCTCTGCTGTAGGCTCCGGCGTATAAAGTGCTGCCGCCCTGGCCTAATTCCTGTGCCAACGACCCCGGCGGCCCTTCTTCTTTAGTTTGTGTCCGAATCTCGCTATCTTATATACTTAGCACTCTCCCAATTGGCCTAGGAGTTCCTAGGAGTCTTCGAACCAGCTCCTAGGCAAGGCCTAGACACTAAACATAGGTATTGCCTAGAACCCTGCTACCTAATTAGCCTAGGAGTTTATAGGAGTTTGCAGGAGTTCCTAAACTAGTTAAGTCTCAAGCATGCGATTACAACTTATGACAGTATTTCGACGGTAGGCTTTGTTCTATTGCGTATAATCAGGATTTTTTCTTCTTTCTTCGAGTATCTGCCATAAGTCCTGTCGATGTAAATTTGGGTACTTTATCTGGCCTCTAGCGGTTCTGTTCCCATCGTACTGCCTAGCACAGACATCGATTTCTTCCAGCCTTTGGCCGCGTCAATAACTTCTTTTACACAACTCCAATGTCCTTGGTGACGCTACGCGTATAATACGCCTTTGATTATTTGACAACGATACAGTCTCTGGACCCTAGACGACCTTGGAACCTATCAGCCACTTGTGGCTCTACCATTGCATGGATGATAAAGTGGTGCAGATCAGTCTTGCGCTGTTTTCCTTGGGAGGGTAAGTTTACTCGAGAATTGGGGCCCTGTAACTGGAACCTGGCAAGCTTTCAAACCCAGAAATGGGCCTTCAGAGGTAGGGTAGGGTAGGATGAGGACCCAGTCTCAACCCTCCCTGTTGAATACATGGCCCAAAACTAGGTCCCAAAAACTGCTTAGTCTCGACTCACGATGCGCTCACCCCAGCACAGCCACAGCTCAGGCTGGAGTGTGAACAGCTCAGTTTCCTAAACGGGAATGGAAATTACTTGGGTGCACATTAGGATATTGAACTACCTGTTCTGGAACAGTGCGATTTGTCACAATTCTAATGATGTCTCCGAGAGGAATCAGCACATCTACAGAATAAATGATATATACTCTCGAGCGAGCGACATGGTCATTTGGCTTGGAGATTACCCTCCGCAGCCCAGAGATGGTGTAATGTCAGTTTTCATGACCGCTGAGCTGCTCAGCAAGATCCCTATGGACGACTTCCCCGGTAATAACGCCCTCCAATTCTCGTGGAACCAAATACCATCAGTGTATCTGGAAGCTGTACAAAAAGGATCTGCGTCGCTGAATGAGCTTATTGGAAGAGATTGGTTCTCACACACGTGGTCCTTGGGGGATCTAGCATCCTTCAACAATAGCAAGGCGATAAAAGTCGTCTATGGTTCCATATCATCAACTTGGGATATCTTTGCATCAGCCGCTCTTCGTCTTCGCTATACTGAGACCGACGATTGCGAGAATCTTGGAACATCCCGTATCAGAATCTTATATCAGGTGATTGCGAAGAACTTTTGGGTTTCCAAATATTGCGATAACGAAAATGACCACATGGCTCGCTTGGCCCGCTTTTTCGCTAGTGTGCCCAAAAACGGCTCTGCCGAGAGAGTACACTCCATGCTCACGAAAATGTGCGATGGAAGTTTCGGGGCCAGAGACCCTCATGACATGATCTACTCTATAGTTAGTCTCATGAGGCCAGACGAGTTACCTTCAAACCTTCAGCCAGACTATGCAAAGCCTTTTACAGAGGTCTACTGGCGGTATGCGGTATTCTTAATGACAAGCATCCGAGATCTTGGCTACCTCCTTTGCTGGAAACGTGAGATCCCTATCTTGCCAGAGATCTCCGGTGTGCCTAGCTGGGTTCCAGACTTCCGGTATCTCGTTCTCGGAGAAGATACCCCAAAAGGCAACTTGATAATTCGTCAGGAAAAGGAGTTGGAACTGGAGGGGATTCAAATAGGCACCGTGGTAGCAGATGCTTGCACGTTGAAATTTTCTCCTTACTCCTCGATTTCCGAACTGTGTACAACATTGCGCTCAAGTCTCCAGAAGCTGGATATCATAGTGAAGCAATCAAAAAGATTGGGAAATTTGATATCCTATGATGCCGCTATCCACCGATTCCTTCAATTTAGCCGTCAATATATCGAAAGGCCTTACATTATGACCGGGGTCGAAAACAAGGCTCTCTATTATTCTTTGATCGATGGGAAGAGCTCAGAGTTCCTGCAGTCTGTGGAACATACGGCGCCTCTCCTTTCGTGGATGAAAGAAATTCATCGTTTCCTCATTGACCTAACGGTCATCTTTACAGAGCAAGATGGAAACGTACAGGCCAGATTTTGTACCAGATTGGATGCCTCTGTCCAACAGGACAACATTGTTTGCATTTTTCCGAGTTGTATTTCGGCACTTCTGCTCCGAGAAAGGGACGGGAAATACCTGCTCATAAGCAAGTGTACTTCGGACACTGGTGAGTTTGTGGATCAGAGGTCTTTCACTGATGCTGAGAAGAAGCGATATGTATTGATCTGAATGTGCTTAAACTAGCAAAGACTGGTGAATAGTTGACCTGTGAGTCTTCGGCTATGATGCAGGTTAAGTTCCGAATTGCTTCGGAACGCCTATTAACATTATACTGATACGGCCTTGTTATTTTCACGTACCTTGTACATTGCGCTGGTCACTCAAAAAGAGCTGCCAACTAGATTGTACCGCGGCCATTTCCGGCCCCGGAGTGATATATATCTAAGAATTTCCTAAGATGTGAAAATTGCTATACCTTGTGTAAACATGCACGTCCAAGAGCTTTGGAACGATATTACATCATACCTTCCAGCTTTCTCTACTAGAAACGCGGCTAAAAGCCAAAAAAAAAAAAAAAAAAGGACGTGAGTCACTCTAGGGAGCCATCTTTAAGGCCGTGAAAACTGCTGTCTATAACGCAGGCGGCGAGCTACCGTAGAAGTTGAGGAATTTTTTTATAGCGCTGACGGCTGCGGCGCCGTCTCGCATACACTAGAATCCGGCACTAAGCAAGCCTTCACCCTGGTCGGACTTCTACTAGACGTAAAGAAAAGGGAAGTGCGGCTCGCTGCTGCGTACTGCTGCTCCAGCCCCTGACTCTGACCATAACCCGATTTCTCACGACCAACGCTCAGAACCCCCGGCAGCACCCCAACGATCTACCAGCACCGACAAAACAAAGCGCAAACCCGAGCGACTTGAACCTGATCACACAAACACCCCCTCCCCCATCCACTTAATCCGCCTTCTCCCACTGCAACCCCGACCGATTCCCAACCAACGTGTTCTGCAGCGCGCCCCCGTCCTCCGCCGCGCCCGCCAACGCCATCGCCAAATCCGCCCAAACCTCGCACTTCTTATCATCATTCATGCAATACAGATCAACCGTATGATTCCACGCCGTTGCCACCAGCCACTCGAGCTCTAGACTCGGGAACCTCTCCGCGGTGCCCTTCCGCTTCTCCGCGATCGCGACCGCTTGGGAGAGGCATTTCTGCGCAAGCGATTCATCGAGGCCCATCGCGAGCTGGAACAGGCAACGGATCCAGCGCGCGAGCTGGTGGATGCCGCCGTTGGGGAGCGGGTTGCCGGAGTTGTCGTTTTGCCAGGCCCTGTCGATGACGGTTTGGAGGACTCGGAGGATTTTCTTCAGGTAGGTGGCGGGGAGTTTGCGCTTGAGCATATAGGAGTGGATAGTGAGGACGAGGTCGGCGAGGGTGGCGTAGTGCTTGGGGTCGTGGTATGCGAAGCATTTCTCGAAGAGCGCGTCCATGGACTCCCAGTCGGAGAGTTTGAGGGAGGCTTCGAGCGAGAACTTGACGAGTTGGAAGTGCTTGGAGATGAGGTCCTTTTTGGAATTGTCATTGATGTCCGCCTTTTCGAGGTAGTCTGAGAGTTCTTTCATGAAATTATCCGCGTGGTAGCGGACAGAGAGGTAACGCTGAGCGGAGGCTTGCAGGTTGTCCTCTGCTCTGGCTAACACTACGTACGCGCATGCCGAAAGAAAATCGCAAAAAAGGAGGCGAAGAGTCAGCTCATCTGCCATGTCCGATGTCTTCTGATCTCTCACTAGTAATATGAACTTCATGCATGCGCCTAGAATTCGGGTTAAGTATTCCGGATGTAGTTCAGTACAATGCTTGAGCCCGAGATTATACGAGTTTTTTGAGAACCACTCAAACTCTACCGAAGTAAAGTGCTCTAATGCTGGGTTGATCGGCCGTCGTTTCGAATTTGTTGCTTGTGTGGCCGCTACATTAATTAGCCGTTGTTCGTAAAACCTCGCGGTGGACACTCACCTCCTTCCAATACCTTAGATAGTTCTTCCGCAACATCTTCATTGATCTTCCCATTTTCCACAAGTAGAGGGGATAGGAGGCGAACAGTGCATCTAATCAAGTCAGCAGCTATGAGCCAGTGCAGCTAGTTCGCTTACCGTAGAAGCGCTGGCAGGTTCACGCCAGCAGGAGCACCATAGTCGTATTTCTCGAGAACTTTTTGAAGCGCTACGACGGCTTGCCTCTTATCACCGGTTTGTTGTGCCTCGAGAACGCAGGCGTACAGTAATGTTGCATCCTTGGTGGATTGCTGGCATACGATGTCCAGACATTGCGTAGCTGGGTAACGCAGTGAGCATAGGCGTTTGAACCCCAAGGAGATTGAAGACTGGCTTACCAAGCTCCGCATCTCCGCTCCTTAGAGAGGCTTTGTACATTATATATCTCGTCATGGGCTCTGCTTTGCCGAAATCGGACATCCGAGTGAAAGCGTCTCGAGCAGCTTCCCAGTCCTTCCTCGCTAAGGCACATAGGATCATTTTCCTGCATCGCTTTAGTGTCTTAATCTCCGGAAGACTTTCTTAAATTGTACCTTGCTATCTTTGCTTTGTTCGACTCTCCGGCTTTGTCGAATAGGGCATGGACAGCAAGAGCACACCACGCTTCTGAAGACTGATATTCATTCTGGCTATAGGCGTATTCGATTTGTTTCCATATCAACTAACGAAATTAGCATGTTAAACTAGGAATATCCCAGGATGCTCGGACTTACGGTTTGCGCCGCATGTGTAGCTGGTGCACTGAATGTAGTCTTCGTGTTCTGTGAGACCTCATCAAATATGTCCCGGAGACCTTCCAGCATATCCTCGGCATGTGGACCCTTAGTCGTAATCCACGTTCTTGTAATCGTAACCTTTTCAATCCAGTCTTGGTTGTTTTCCCCGAACAACCGTATCCTTATAAGGTCGTCGAGGATCTTGCAGGCGGTCGCATTACTACTGCACATCAGACCTTGACTAGTGAATTGCAATCGAGTAAATTCACCTTTGATCTTTGAGCTTATACACATGATGCATTATCCTAATTTCTGTTAGTCCGTAAAAGAAGATGGATGGGTGTTCGCACGTTTTGAGACTTGTCTCGGTGAGGACTGCGCTGCGGGCCATACGAAGTAGAACTAGGCAAGTTAGATAGGTCAACAGAGTCTTTGGGCTCTCAACGCACCCCCGTAATACTGGTCGCCGTCTATCGTGTCTGCGGAGGATAGAAGTTCCAACTTCAACAAAGAGACAATCATCTTTTCACCGTAGTCCTACAACGCTTGTCAGTTTCCGCGTGGAGACGGAAGGAGGGAATAGTACTATTTCCATCAGGTCCACCAATTGCCAAGCGCGCTGACGCGCATCAGATTCTTCGGGGAGATCACTAAGCTTCAAGAGCGACTGGACTGAGCCATCATTAGTGAAGTTTGCTTCGCCTAGGACAGCATGCATACCCAAGCTTTGCATGATACTCAACCTCAGCTCCCCAGCATCAGCACTCAATCTCTCCAGCTCATGGTCTCCGAGCATCTCATGTGCCCTTTCTAACCACTTGACAGCAGCCTCGTAACGACCGTGCTTGAGTTGGTCCTTGCCAATCTCATACAGCAAATCCGACAAACTCTCCGCAATCGCGGGATCAAGTTGGTGACCAGACAGCTCATCTTTGGAGAACATGTGCTCCGCAATGTCCATGCGACCTTGCCGCCATGCCTGTAATCCAGATCGTCAGTATACGCATCCCATCTGACGAGCGCACCCCTGAGATCAAGCAATAAAACTCACCAGCGCAGACCTAAGCACCAGGTACTCAACCCTCAGCCTCCTATTCGCCTCATCACTCTCCGGCCCCGTCTCCGCATCTTTCTCCGCGGCCAACTCCTCCTCCAAGGTCGCCGCCCTCTCCATGACCTTCGAACACACATCCACCATGCCAGCCTCAAGACACACCCGCGAGCTCTTAAGCGCGACCTTCATCAACCTCACGACCGCACCTTCATCCTTGCTATCGGCACCCGCGGTTCCTTTTCTCTTTAGCCCAGCCGCAGCGCTCTCCAGCAACAGGAACGCGAAGGCGCGCAGCAGGCAGAGCACCTTCTTTCCCAAGCCTTCGCGGCTTTCCTCACGCTTCAAACGCGTCGAAGTGTTCCATAGCTCCGTCCCGACCTTGTCGAGCTCGTCGCGCTTCGCATTCAGGGCGGAGGATGCAGGCAGAGGGAGCGAGGTTATTTGAGCTTGCAGATCGGTGGCTAGGGTAGTGTCGAAGGGGTTAGAGGTGAGGCGGGTGGAGATGGAGTCGGCGAAGGCTGCAATCGAGATTGTTAGCTTGAAGACGGGGATGGAGGTAGGATAGAATAAGATTGGATAGAGGCAGAGGTCTCTGGAGGAACCAGGGGGGAGAGCGCGTACTGAGAAGGGCTTTGATTTTCTTTTCGCGTTCTGAGCGGAGGGTATTGGAGGGCGCCATCCCGCGTCTTCGACGGCGGTAAGATATGTGATGTGAGGTGGAGGGGCACTTGGTGATGAGGTGAGGTTGGATTAGAGTCGCGATCCGGCCCTAAGAGGCATGAAGCGATCCACGAAGAGGCCACAAATTTGTAAAAACATAGCGCAAATCGAGATCAGATTTTTGGAAAATCATATACAGAGAATAACAAAATATGCACAATAGATACAAGGTGCTCGAAGGCGTAGAAGAGTGGTGGGTATACTTTTCGCCATCGTTTTAGAGTCAACACGACCCTTCTTAGGCCCACAGGTTTTTTTTTGATCATCTCTCTACCGGCATCAAATACCCTTATACTCCAAAGCTACTGTGAAAAATGAAGGGTAAGAATATCGCCATAAAGCCAACGTCAGTATATGCACAAATCGTATCGCACCTTCCCCCCCTAGATCGACGGTCATGTCCAGAACGTCGTGAAGCATGGTACAAGACCATATGTGAATAATCTAGCCGCCCATACTAAAGCAAATGTGCCGTCCAAGATTGTATGTGCAGTTGACGGCCGGATTACCCCGGCGGTGAAGGTGGTATCATAGGTAGGAAATTGCCAACAATCAAGGCAGGACTACATTCTCTATCAGTATTCTCTCAAGGCCACCAGTGCATAGACCTCACATGTTATAAATGTCACGACGGATCGTGAAGGAAAAGCAGCATCTGATCTCGGGATCTTTTGAGTTCGCATCAGGATTTTTAAGTGAGCAGCTTGTCAGAATGGCTTTCTGAGAGTTATCAAAGGCAATAGCGCCAAATTTCTCCCAGTAGCTGACGAGGGACCCCTCGGCGATGATTTCGTGGATGGCGATATTGCCCTGGGGAGTGGCTTAGCAACGGCGCAAACAGAGGGGTAATAGCACTGCCTACATCTCTCAGTTTCTGGATGGGCACATGAATCAACTCGGCCATCTCTCTGTTGCCCCTGAATATTTCCCCTGTTCTCCTCCAGCAGCAAGCGGGGATCGCCATGCTTGCAAAAACCCGATCGTACTCCATCAAGCTCTTGTCGAACCACATTTCAACGCGCACTAGCTCGACATCTGTCAGCTTCTGCATCCGCTCTCGAAATTTGGGTCTGAATTTGTCCAGCTGCCGTAGGATTCTCACGCGGGAGACTGGCTGCATGTTCCGCTCCATGTACTGATTCAGCCGCGCGTATCCTTTGACGTAGTTGAACGGCTTAAGCATTCCAGCGTCCATCTTAGCTCTCAGCAGCTTGTCCATGCGTTCTTCGGGAGTGTCTGATCCCATTGCAGGATCCGCAGCTGTCATGTAGTACCTCTCTCGGGCTTTGTCGATGGGAAACCCACTCGGCGGTCTCGAAATAGAATTGCCTACAGCGGCTTGAGCGGGTGGCGGTAGCAGGAGGCTGTTGTTCTGCGCATTAGAATTAAAAGAATTGCTGTTGGGCAATGTGCCCATCGTGTTTGCTAGATTGGGGTCAGGAAACAGGCCTTGCATGTCGGCGCCGGAATAGAGGCTACTGTCTTCCATGAGGCTGTTGCTTAGGAAGTCGTTGAGCAGGTTGTATTCGTTGCTGACTTCGGACGTGTTGAACATGTAGGAAGGGTGGAAATGGTGCATATCCTGAAAATGAGTTGCCGAGCCTGCGTTCCAGTCGTTGTAGTTCATGTCTTCACGGAGCAGTTAGTACGATGGGTTTCAAGACTGGGAGCGTGTAACCAACATGGCTGATTGCTGTCCGCCAGGGATGAGGGCTGTGGCGCAGACACAGGCGTAGGCTGGGCGATAGACGCGGTGTTGGCAACTCTGCTCTGAGGTATTGGGGGCGGCGCAAGGTTGAGCCCTGCATCAGACACGCTTTGACGCGCCTCGAGAGAGTTCATGGGGGACTCGGAGGGCGCCGTGTCTTGCTTGGACGAGTCTGCATCACCATTTGCGCTGTCAGGGTCTGTCTTGCTCTTTTTAATTGTTTCTCGCGGCTCATCGTGGCAAAGATGGCCAATATTTCGCTTGATGCATCGTTTACACGGCCGTTCCTGTGCGGTAAGGGAGCTTCTAGTGAGCGCAAGTCGGCCAACAGGGGGCTTCGGCACAGCTTACGAGGTCGCAGGTCATATGCTACTCGGGGGAGAGGTCAGCATGCAGTGTAGTCTAACAGCGCCATTGTCATGTGTCTTGGATGCGGTGCTGTGGGAGGCGAGGGCGCAGCGGCTCACCGAACGTCTGCAATATATGCAAGCTACGGGAGACAGCAGGAATTAGCATCGTGAGCACGGCAAATGCAGCGGGAGCGGAGCCGCGAGCTGACCATGATTGACCTTCCGGCGCTTCTTTGGGCTTTTCGTGGAGCCCTCTGCGCCGGACGACGATGTGCCCTGCTGGGGCGGGCTCCTTTTCGGCGCATTGGATTTATCGGTCTCGCTGCCCTGGTCCGCGGCCCTGGGTGGTGTCATACCATGGGGAGAAGCTCCATTGGGTCTTTGTGTAGCTTCGGCGGGCATCAAAGCTGGGCCGCGTCCGGGAGAGTAGTGCTGGGAGTAGTACGGGGTCGGCGCGCAGGACTGCGTCAGAGGGCGGAGCGGTCACAGCAGCAGCGCATTGCCTCGAGCACGTTCGCAGGTCGCACACGCGGAGCTGTGGGGGTGGTGGTGGTGGTGAATTGGAGGATTGTGAATGTCGAAGTGGCACGCAAGAAAGCCTTATGGCGCAATGAAGTGCGAAGATCTGCCGCTGGACCGAGGTCGCTGCGCCTGCGCCCCTCCATGCGATTATTACTTGGCCCGTCCGTAGCAGTTTCTGAGGGATGGGCCTTGAGCGTGACGGGACAATTCTCTCCAAACACGCCGGCGGACGGGCCATCGTCCAATAGTGCCGGGCAAGGCCGCATTTCCGCAGCTGAGCAGCCTCTGCACTCTGCGCCTGCATGTGGCATCCCGAGAACCGATGCGCCGGGAACGCATGGGGAACAAGCTCCAAATGTCACGGTGCGCCCATCTGCACAACATCAGTTCCAGCCCAGCGCGGCCCACGAGGCTCACGCACACGGTGCTGGCTCCTCGGACACTCCGTACTTCGGTAGACAGTCCAAGTGCCTGCTCATTGCAGGGTAGCATCTGCATTGATTCGTCCAGACTACGCATCTGGGAGGCAATCGTGCAGTCGCGGTGCTCGTGACACCATCCCCCGGCAGCCCAAGGGCCATGATCTGCTGCTAGTGCAGCCTGTAATTCTCCTGGCCCTTCCCGAGGTTCCCCAAGCTTGCGTAGACCGCCAATGCGATCGAAGAAATCACTCCTGAGTATCAGGCCTGCTCATTGCATCGTACTGCTGTGGACTTGCATGCGTGAACAGCACATCGTCCAGCGCCGCCTGCGCCTCCCGCATCACGGCATCAATACCCTGCACCTGCTCGTGGTTCCCCTGCATGCTCTCGAGATGGCTCCGCAGTGTGTCGAGCAGCGGGGCAAGATCCGGGTCGGAGTCGTCGAAGAGCGCCTGCTTCGCGGGCTTCTGTCTCACCAGGCCAATATCCTCCGCGGAATCATCTCCTAATTCGAAGTTCTTCGGCAATCGGAGTATAGGGTGGGGCTGCAGTCCGTTAGAAAGTTCAGACAACAAAACAGAGACCTTACCTTGACCCCCAGATCTTTTAGCGCCCTCTTCTCCGCTTTAGCATTCTCCTCGAATTCCGCCAACACCTCTTTATCCCTCTCGAGTTGTGCCTCCTCCTTCTCAATCGCCGCCTTCAGGAGGTCGATCGAATGCATCGCAGGCGTGAGCTGGTTTTCGAGTATTCTCTGTAATCCTGTCAGCATCGCATACAGTCTAGGAACACGGTCCACCTACATTCCGCTCTATGACCTTCTCCAGATCGAAGTCCGTTTCTTTCGTGTTGGGGGGAAAGGGCATCTTGGGCAGTCGCTGTTCCATTGCCCTGATCATAGCCCCTACAACCTGCTCGGCCTCCAGCCTCTTCCGCTCGTCCCGCCGGGTCGCTACCACGGGTCTCAGTGCAGTTTTGAATATATTCTTGATTTGTTCCTGCATCTGGTGGGTGGGCGCCTCCCACTTTGTGACGATAACAGTGCGCGAGACGTAGCGACTGCGTGTTCGCAGATGCTGAAACTTCTTCGATGCTGGTTCATCTTCCGTCTCGTCCTCAGCATCACGAGCTTTACGTTTTCGGCTGCCGGAAACTTCTGGAGCTGGATTTGAAGGTCGGCCTGGCTTGGATTTACGGGATGGTCCGGCCATGTCGTCTTCTTCAGCGGGCTGTCGTCGCTGCGCAGAGTGTCCGCTCTTTGGTGGCCTGCCTCTCTTCTTCGGCTGTGTAGACATTGGCTTTGATACCTTTGCGATCCCCCGCGACGCATTGGAGGGCCGGCCACGTTTTGCTTTGGGTGGCATGTTGTTGAAAGAAGAATGTGGTGGTTGCAATGACGTCCGCGCTCGTGTCCTGGTGTTTACGTGAAGCGCGACTGCCAAGCAGATCACCCGCTAGCGATGATCCAGTTAGCCTACTCGTGGCACCGAGAATCCCTGACGCCACAGGATCCACACATTCACCGTCTTCATCATTCACCGTTTTCATCATTCACCGAAAGTCTCATTTCCGAATGCCGCAAAGATGCAAGTCGTCAGGGCGATGAATGAGCTAACTTCGTTTGATTGTTTCCTCACCCGATTCCGCCTGGCAATCTTCACCCGTTCAGACAGCAGGCCAACATAATCTCTAACCGGTCAGGCCGGCAGGGCCGGTCGACCGACTGGAATTTCCCCACTAAGAATTTCCTGACAAGCTTCAAGGACCTTCAGCGAGCTACCAAGCATCTCTACAAAGGTAAGCGCAGCTACAAAGCTTGCAAGTCTGGACCGAAACTCAAACATACACAGAAGCATTTCATAGACTTAGCAGCAACGTTGCTCCAGGATGATATTATGGTATCGAAGCCTAGGCTTGGTGAAAGCCCAGGCTTCAGAAATCTAGATACATGGACCTTTGGAGGTTCTAAGCATCAGTTCCGAGCAATCGGTTTACGGTCAGATTCAAGGGCTGCAGCAATGGACACCGGAATCACATTTCAATCACGAGGCATCACGCCTCGTGATTGATCATCATAGAACACCGTGGGGTCCTCCATAGGTTCAAGTATCTGTCATAAATAATTAGTTTTCGACCTGATTTAAGGGATCCAGGAAATCGTATCAGAATCACACTTCAAATCGCAACTCAATCAAGCCTCGTGATTCACCATCACAGAACACCATGGGCCCTTCGTAGGCCCCAAGGGCATGTCACGAGTGATCCCTTTTTGACCTGATCATGCTGCTTTCGAAGAGGAAGGATTTATATACGACTTTCAATCCAATCATTTTTCTTTTTAATGAATTGCGATATCAAGATCCCTATCCTGGCATAGAAAAATCCGCCTTCGTAATCAAAATAATCCTCACTCACAACATTCCCATAGAGAATCGTAGCCACCTTCATTTGTAGAAAACTTCACGTCCCCTTACGTGTCCTTGATGCCCTGCTAGCCAACATTCTTAGGTAAAGGTGGACAGCGTCGGCGCCACGTTGCGGGAAGAGCGTGTGGATCTGCTAAAAGGTTTAACTTTTTTCTTTCTTCTATTACAGCTCCTTCCGTCGCCTACCTCCGCAAACCCATAACACCCACCAGCAAGCACCAAATCAAAACCAAAAATGTGCCGCAAAACCTACACCTACTTTTCCAGCTGCCCCCACAGTACGGTGGAGACGAATTACTGCCGCCGGCCTCCCGCTCCACTTGCTCATCTTTCTAACTGGAGTATTGTGGAGAACCACCCGTACTTGAGTCACCAGCAATAACAGAACACTACCGAACACAGCGTTGATGTCCGCCAGCTGAGTAAGAATAAGTGTGATGAGTGTAAATGGGGCAATGAGAACGGGGACGCCCATTGAGGGGGCGAGGAGACCGAGATAGTCTCAGGTAGATGGGTGAGGCGAGCCCATAGTAGCAAGAGGGATGTGGCTTCTAATGTCAGATCTTGGGCGTGTGGTTCCTTACATTGTAAATCTATTTTCTCGCAACCACTAGAGGTCCTCCAAAGAGTTAACGGAGTGCGCAAAAAGGGTGAATTCGTGAGCAGAGACGAGTGGTGAAACGATTCGTAGAATCATTCAAGAGGCAGGGCGATTTCTACTGCATCCATCTTACCATCGTAGTCGGAGTTTTGAAGGTCCATAGAGGTACCTCAAACAGTGCTAAACCCATCTGCCTATAGACCCTTAGCAAGGTGTATGAACACGCTTCATGGTATCAATACACCTAGTGGCAATAAGACGCTCCGTAGGAGTAAGCTGCTTCGTATAATTAGGTTTTCGGAGGGTATATAAACCTCAATTCTGATTCTGAGCTTCTCTCCCTTCACATCAAACTTTCTTAACTATCGCATGGTCTCGAAGCCCTCCAAAGCTTCATGGATATGCTCAATAGGACTAAAGATGTGAGTCGATACAGGAGCAATGTCAATTCCATCAGTGGGAGAAGGCTGTATCGAGACGCCAGCTCAATCGAGTTCGTACAAACAACTGCGGGCTCGGTGAGAGACTCGACCAAACACCTCGTACTCGCAAGCCAATACCTCATGCACCAGTTCGCACTTCACCTCATCGCTTCACCCGCTGTGACATTTGCCGTGTTTGCGCTTCCATCCAAAGTCCCCTTCCCACCTTTCCACGAGCCAGCTGCATCTCAACACCGTCCTGCGTCTTCCCTCACCACCACAGGGACAGCCTGACAACGTCACCTTCTTGCTCCGACGCTCGTGCACAGCACCTCATTCACACCCTCATCCCCCTCATAAGCCTCTCCTGCCCGAAAACCGCGCCGAAATGACCTCCCAACTGCACAAGAGCGAGTATCTGGAGGTCGTCGACCCGCGCTTTGCCGGCGCCTTCCCGCCCTTCGAGCACCCCCGACAGCCGCGTCTTGGCCGCGCATATACAACCGCGAATCCGCCCAGCCATATCGAGCTTGAGCCGCGTCCAGCCCTACGAGAGCGTGCCCAAACCGCCTCCGCCGCCAAAGCTCGATCTGCCCCCAGACGACGGCCCGTTTGCTATAACTCTTCGACCGGCAGCGGCAGCCTCCGTGGCCCCGGCTTCTGGGCCTCAGGGTGCGCCGACGCGTGTAGGCTGGGAGAAGGCGGAGGTGGACAAAGAGCTGCAAAAAGCCTTTGACTTGGAAGAGGACCCAATGGGTGATACGGAGAAGGAGAAGGAAATTCGCCGCTGCCGGGGGGGGTTTCGTGAAGAAATGCGAGCAATGGCGGAACAACTGAGCGAATTGTACGTGGAAATGGTGGCTTCGCGTGATGGAAACCTCCACGATTTGGCCAAAATAGCGGCACGAAGGCTCAAGGGTATCGTCAAATGTCGTGACCGCCACCAGAAAGAGGCGAAGGAGAAGGGGAGGCGGGCCAGTCTGACGTATGTTGAAAGCTCCTTGAAAGTGGATTTGGAGTTGCTAACCAGGGCACTCCAGACAGCTGCATGACGTCGGCAATGTGAAGGTAATGGGAGCGCTGTTTTGGACTCTCTACACGTACACAAAGCATATGCACAGCTATTTCGAGGATGTGAAGGAATACCAGCGCCAGGACATCAAGAATCCAATCCGTGTCGTGAGAGACAAATTCCGAGAGCTGAATCAGCTCTACCGCAACATAGACTTAGAGGTCGAGAAAAATCCCGAAGCACGTCCAGCCGAATTAGCACCAGCACCGGCGTCGATGTCAGAAGAGAGAGAGCCCAAAGCAGAGTCTAAGCTTCTCAAGCTGAAGAAGTCCCTGAGCGACCTCCTGACGTTCCGCAAACAACGCGAGACTTGAGCAGAATGTTCCTGATTTCCAGCCTGGCGCCAAGTTCATCACCCGACTTCTCCAAACTAGGATAAACACAGTACCGAAATTCTGGATCTGAAAAATCGCCGTCGTCCTCCTCGACCTCGTTTACGGGCTCCATTTTCTGAGCGTCAAATTTTGGGGCGTTTTCCATTCCATCGTGCAGCACGAACAGGATTGAGTACCGGGCTTTTTGGGAGAGCAGAGTGCTTTGGAGGTTAGCCACAGAATCAAAGATGTTGTATAAAGAGCTCTGAATGGCATCTGATTTCGTGACTCCTGATATTTCTTCCAGAATATTGAGTGTGGATTCCACAAGACTGTGAATAAGCACGAATTTTCCTTCTTTTAGAGTATCTTTCAGGGGGCTCCCCTGGATCATGCGAATTGTAGACCGTCTCCAGTCTCGGAAATCAGGCCCTTCGCTGTCTGGTTTTGACATCGGTTGTGAGTCCTGTTGGTACCCCTGGGCCTGGAAGCTTTTCGCGAGTGCACGTGTCTCAGACAGGACACCCGAAATTGGGAGCCCTACGCACATGTTCTCCTCGAATATCTTCATGGTCTTGTAAGCCACTACAGCTTGGTAAAGGCTTATCTTATCGGTCGGTTCGAACGACCTAAACTGGGGGCTGATGGCTTCGAGTACTGCAATTGTCTCTTGTTTCGGATTGCTGACGTCTAGATACAGTTGTGTCAGAACTTGTTCACACAGTCTAATTGTAAAACTCACCTAATTTGGACCGACGGAAGTTGCTTATGACCCACTCCCGGATCCGATGGTATAGTTGGTCCATCCTATCAGCTAGATCACTATCTGTAGCCTGATCATCGATGCGAGTCAAAGCTGATATGGTCTGCTTAAGCTCTAGTAATTGCTTCCGTCTCTCGTGGACCTCTTTGTCCGCATTATGGAGTGCTTCGGCCTGCTTGTTCCGTTCTTTGATCCAATTGGCCCTCTCGTGCTCCCACTGCGCGCTCCATATGGTTTCGCGGTCTAGGATTTCTGCCTGGAGTTCTTCAAGCTTGTCTTTAAGATCGTAAACCTCCTCTTGAAGCTCGCTACGCTCCTTGTTCCAGAAGCGGTGGCGGTCTGTCTCTTGCTCAAACTCTTTCAGTGCTCCGTTGGAGTCTGATCTGTATCGGTGGTCGTTGGAGTCGGAGAGCTTCTCTTTATACGTGTCTATGGCGTCTCGATACGCTAGCTCATGTTGCTGAAGCTTCTTTATCTCCTCGGCCATAGACTGTTGCTCGCTGTGGGAAATCGCCAATGCTTTCTCCAGCTCAGCGATCCGGTCAAGATGGGCCCGGCCATCGCTGCTGCTTGCAAAAGGATCGTTCGCGACAGTTGCTAAAGATCGATCATCGTCGTCCGGGGGAGAGTGGCTGCTGGTGGGCCTGCTGCTGTCTCTCGACGATGCTTGGAGCAGCATCTCGGCCAAGCCGTGTTTGCGGCGGTGCAGATCGTCCTTTTTGGCTTTCCCGGTGGCTAGAGCAGCCTTGGGAGGGGCGCTGATGGGGCTCGCGGCGGGTGATGTCTTGCTGCTGCGGGAGGAGATCTTGCCGGGACGCTTGAGGCGACTCGCGAGGTCTAGCGGGCCGTCAGTCAGGAACGGCGTTGGCGGCAGCAGGGTGCAGCTTTTAGGCTATTGGAAGGCTTCTTTCGGGGTCGACAAACGCTGTCAATAGTACTGGAGATCTGCGTACCTGATCCCTTCTTGTCCCCAGGCATCGCAGTGAGGGGGAGGGGCGAGCTACTTCCCGGCGAGCATGAGGGCTACAGGCGTATATGTCCTAGTATGTGGCCACAATGTCGTGTTCAGAAACAAGGAGTCGAGCACGCGTTCTAGCAGTTGCCAATGCTTGGAGAGAGAGAGCGAGGACTGGTACCTAGCGACGGAGATATGTGGGGGAGAGAGTGATGGGCAGGGGTGTCAGCCACCATCTCAGCTTCGGCTTCGAGGGGTCTCCGCGCCCTCAAGGCAGTGCCGTCGAGCACCACTATTCGGGTGCCTGATCTCCTGCAATGCCCTCCAGCCGCTGCTCTATATGACCGCCTGGTCCGCCTCTCTGTGTCTGTTGCCTTCCTCCAGCATTTGCGTTCAATTGTCGACCCGCGTTGAGATATCCCCACCTCCCTTCAGCCCCAGCGCCTGCATTCTGCCGTCACACAGCCAGCTGAGACAGTAGGACCGGGAAAGCGCAGCAGAGGCCGGGAACATGAGCAGCGATACGCCAGCAAGGGGCTTCAACATTCCCTACACCTTCGACCCTTCGTCCAACGGCAGTATTGCGCCCACCGTCAGCTCCGGCGCGTCCAAGGCGAGCGCAGTGCAGGATAGGCTTATTGTAGGAGTCGACTTTGGCACTACGTATAGCGGTATGTCGGTGTAGAGACGCGTGTTGCACAGCACTGATTGAGGACACAGGTGTTGCGGCAGTATACAGTGCGACACCAGAAGATGTGGACATAATCAAAACATGGCCTGGAGGCAATGGTAGAGAACCACCCAGCACGTGAAAGTTTAAAGGAGATGTTTGCTGAAGCATGCAGGCATAACCTCTGACAAGGTCCCCACCGAAATCGCCTACGACATTCCCAAGGAATCCAATGGCACCGCTTCCGACGCCGACAGCAACAAGCCAAGGGCTATAAAATGGGGGTTCCAGTTCAAGCCCGAAGAGTCCAGGCTGCGATGCATAAAGCTGTTCCTCGACCGGAACCAGAAACTCCCCCACTTCGTCTCTCCTCTCGACACGGCCGCTCAATTGAGGAAATACGAGCGTACTGTTCACGATGCTGTTTCAGACTACCTCACACAGATATATAAGCACACCATGGACACCTTGACACGTAGATATGGCGAGACCTTTATGAGCATGACAAAAGTGGAGTTTGTGCTCACTGTTCCTGCAGTATGGTCAGATTCTGCCAAAGACGCGACGCTGAAGGCAGCAGAACGAGCGGGCATGGGCAACATTCACGATTTGAAACTAATCTCGGAGCCGGAAGCTGCGGCTGTGTATACACTAAAAGCGATTCAGCCTAATCACTTGAAAATAGGGGACAACTTCATTGTTTGTGACGCTGGTACGCTTTTCTTGCTACTGTTGTCAATGTGCAGGCTAACACATTGCAGGTGGTGGCACTGTAGACTTAATCGCGTACAAAATCACAAAGCTATCACCCCTCCAAGTCGAAGAGTCAGCCGTGGGAACCGGTGGCCTCTGCGGCTCAGCATTCCTCAACTACCGCTTCGAGGACCATGTCAAGAGCCGCATCGGCGAAGAGCGCTACAACACGATGCGCGAAAAGAAAGCGAAGACCTGGAACATGGGCCTCAAGTACTTCGAGGAGTTCGTCAAGCGCAACTTCAACGAGGACGAGCATGCGGAGGTCAATGTCCCCTTTCCTGGTCTGCCAGACGACGAGGAAGCCGGGCTCGACTCTGGCTTCCTCGTCATGTCAGCCGAACAAGTCAAAGAGATCTTCGAGCCCGTTGTAAAGGAGGTCATAGATCTAGTGGAAGGCCAGGTAAACACAATACGACGCAAAGGGGGCGTCGTGTGTGGAATCGTGCTGGTCGGTGGGTTTGGACAGAGCAACTACTTGTACAGCAAAATGAAGGCGCACTTTAACACTGCGCCTCCGCCACCGTACACGGAGAGACCAACGCATGCAGCGGCCCTCAACGCACCCCAGACAATTGAAGTCATGCATCCGATGTATGCTTGGACAGCAGTTGTGAGGGGTGCCGTGCTGAGAGGTTTGGAGGGAAGCATGGTTCAAAGCCGACGGAGCAGATGGCACTACGGAACAAGCTACGCCACAGTGTTTGACGAGGCACGGCACCCGATCAGCGATCGCTACTGGAGTCCGCTTTGGGAGCGGTGGATGGTCAGTGACCGAATGCAGTGGCATATCGCAAAGGTACGGAATTGAAGATGATCGCCAGCATCAAAATACGAAGCTAATCACTTATTCCTTATTAGGGCGCGCAAGTTTCTGAGTCTCAGCCCATCTCTTTTCACTACACTCGCAACTTCCGCCCCGGCCAGTCCCTAGTAGTCGAAGACGACCTTATCGCTTGCGACGCTGACACTGCGCCGGACTCGTACCAAAAGGGCCTCATTAGCGTCTGCACGCTCACCACTGATCTGAACACCGTGCCGAAGTCGCTGTTCACGCGGCTGACCACGACGAAGGGAGTTGAGTTTGACAACCTGGACTTCAGTCTAGACATGCGCATCGACAGCGCAGGGCTGGTCTTTGAGCTCAAGGTGGATGGCGTGAGATATGGGGCTGTGTCGGCGAAGTTTCATTAGGGAGAAGGCTGTAATTGACAATCGGGCAAAAGACATGCGGACTGGATGTGCATCTGAGGGGCATTGGGTTGATTTTCTGAGATATCCAGCATACGGGCGCTTTTCGACATGGGAACTGGCGATGCTTTGATGGTCGTGGAAGGGAGAGTAAATGCATACTCGTATATAGTTGTTCTTGGGTAGCTCCACTCACCAAGAACAAAGTTAGATTAGGTCACGTGATTCTAATTCTCAACGGACATCAGAGCATTGGGCAAGCACAAGGTATCATGGCTTCGGCGTTGCACGCTGGAGATATCACACTGCTAGTAAGATGTCCACACACTAGAGATTAGGAGGGAGTATATATGTCGGGTAAAGAGGTGATACGGATGTTAGAGGTACGACACAAGGACCTAAAAGCGGGATAGGAAGTGAAGGTTTGCACACGCCAAAGCGAATGTGTAATATCAACATACCTAGGCACGCTTTGCAACCACGTCTGTGGGGCTGGTAGAAGATGCAAGGCGATGAAATATTCGAAGATTCCAAGATTGGACCAGGAAATATGACATATGCTAAGCGGAGCATTAATAGGCACATTAAACAAGCAGAAAGTGGAACCATAGAAAAAGGATCATTGAGAACGGCAATTACTCTTGCCTAGGCCATTTGCAATGAACTGGAGGTAATGCAGACCAGATACACAAATCAACCCTTTTATCCCCAAATGACCCCATTGATATCGCCTGAGACCATTTCGTTGTTTCTCTACTTCCTGATAGCACGGGAGTAGAACGCCAACTCTTCACCCTCAAGCACGTATCCGTCGACACGACCACTCTGGCCGGGCCTCGAGGCAACGACGGCGAAGAGACGACCGGCCTCGAACTGCTTCTCGAGCGCTGACTCGACCTTGCCAGTAGCAGCGACACGGGCAGCGTGCTTCTTCTCAACCGACTTGCTTCTCTTCTTCTCTTCTTCCTTCTCGGCGCCCTTGACCTGCCTCCTACGGCCTAGCTGTGTTCCGTAGTGTGCCTCGTACCACTGCCTGAAAGGAGCAGCATCGATCTGGACGACGGCCGATTTGGTGAGGGTGTTGGTGCGGACGAGTTCGTTGTTGGAGGGATGGAAGGCGACGGCGATCACGCGGACCTTCTTGGCGATGCCCTCAGATCCCCAGGAGAAGTTGCCGGAGTCGAGACGTAGGGCGCGGAATTTGCGGTTGCCGCCTCGGGTGCGGACAAGATGGATGCGCTTTGCGCCAATACGAGTATTGGCGGGCTGGCGACCCTTCTCGAAAGCTCTGATGCCACATGGTTAAACATGGTAAAAGATGCAATCGGTTTATGCATACCTCTTCTTGCGATAGTATGCTCTCTTCGCACCAGTCGCGGCGCGCTTGTGGCGAGAGTCTCGTGAGATACTAGGACCTGTTAGCGGGCTGTCTCTAGGTGGAATGTAAATGTAGATAGATACCCCATGATTGCGGTTCCTGAGAAAGACTGTAAAAAGCCAGGTTAGCAACGGCTCGTCCTCAATATTGGGGATGCCAGGGATTTCGGAGACTGCAGAGTTTGACGCAGGACGGACGGTGACCAGACAGACTGCACAGGCAGGATGTCGATGTTTTGTGTGCTTGCGCGCTGTGTTGGCCTCCAGCGTGGGTTTCGCCCTCCTATTTCTCGTTCTGCGAGCTCTCGATATCCGCTGCCTTGTATGTACTGACCTGTCGGTGTCTTCCTGCGCAATCGTCGGTGGTGGGTGATGAGGTTCGAAGATGTCGAAAAGTTGCGGGTGCGGTCAAAATCGCGGAGTGGCCTTTTTCGCTTAGCTTTGTGTCTTACCTAATTAGGAATAGCCCATACGGCCTTGGCATCTATCCTCCACCCCCCATGCCCCCTCCAGCTCTATCAACACGCTCAGAACAATCATCCTCATAAGACTTTCTTTTCTCTTATAAGTTGGTATTGGGATGATGTTTCTGAACTTGCGTTGCTCGAAAGCTCGTCAAAGCTTTGCCACGTAGTGGTTCTTCACTGTCTTCTCATTGGCTATTATTATTACTTCAGTCTCTCTGGCTACTCTTTGTAGCGAAGCTACAAACTATTTTCTGCGATGAATGGAACTGTCTTCTCACAATGGGAATCTCTTTCGCGGGTTTCTACTCAGTGACTTCTATCTGCTCAGCATGTTCGCCCCCACCCTCCCACCATGGGGCCGGTCGACTGGGATATGGAGATTAACTACAGGCAGCGAATGTTGTGCCGGCTGATGCACGTCAACCCCTACACGGTTCAGAATCCGGTCATGGTCCGGTCTTCTATTTTCTTCTCTTATATGCCAGCGTAAATAGCTAATAGAGCTCTATTTGACTTGAACGTCTCTCGATCGCGACTTTGCATTATCGCGGCGTTTACGTGGAGTCTCTAGCTACGACGCGACTGATTGTGTCCAATAAAATCGAAATCACGACGATCAACGCGACGCGGGCAGACCGGAAGCACATCGCTATTTCCAGAACGGCAGGGGTGTAGGCCTAACATGGCAATATACCGTCTAGCCCTTCATCCCCGGCGTAATCGTCTCTTCGTTCTTCGAATTTGGTTCTTTGGCGGCATCTCACGACTCTGCGCGGCTGTATGTACGAAGGTATGTTTCACCAAAGGAAGCAAAGTGTGGCTTTGGTAATCGAACGTGCCGTCAGACTAGCACCCTTGGAGTGAAGTCGCCGAGACAAGTGGCTTAGCAGCGGGGATTTCAGAGGCTGCGCATGCAACCAACGCCTAACTACGACCGAGGCAGTTAGGAAGGTCAATAACAACCCTTGACCGCCGAACCACCAGGCAGCTCATAACCGCAATCATCCCACGCTGCGAATCCTCCCGACAGTCGTTTCCCTACAGAGTTCATGCGTATTCAATAATCAAGCACACTCTAAGTGAATGCCATGTAACGCAGACTTTCCTGCTTCCACACTTCAGCCGCAGTCGGTGTCTCTCGTGCAGCGACCGCGTGGACGACTACCACGGTACGAGAGGGATCGCGCAGATTTCTTCAGCTCATCTCCTTTCCATCTCATATCATGATCTCCTCTCCACTGTGCATTTGTCCGCTTTTTACTTGAAATCCCTGTTTTTACGACCACGCTATCATTCGTTTGTGTTCAGTTGTGGATATCGAAAAGTACACATTCCGGGGGAATCACTACCACTTTCGCTGCAGTCTCTATACTTTCTTTACCTATGATGCTATCTATCCGGCCGCGGCATGGCCGCTTCAATATGTATTCCTACTTTCTATTGCTTTCTTGCTCAATATCACCGCATAATATGGCTTCGGCTGCGTTACAAAGAGGTATGCTTCTGCCTCCCGCGTCCCTTCCATACCCAACAATGTGTATCCTCCGCAAGCCATATTAATATAAATATCGCAGACTTCCCTCCCAATGCATCATATACAGACATATCCGATACAGGCTCACCTACGAGTTCGAAAATACCCGCGCCGCCCAATATCGTTCATGTTGAGTCGTCCGCCAGCGGCCTGGGCGGCGCGCCCACTTCAACACCCCGAATTTCCTTCACAGTCCCGGCACCGCATCTAGAAAGCAGCGCATCTAGTCTAGACAACGGCCCAGGACCCATAGTCTCGCCGCTGATCCCCCACGTCGAAAGCAGCGTCTCGGAGATCCCACACATCGAGTTCAGCGCCTCGGACAGCCTTGGACCAAACTCAGCCGATGCACGAACAACTGTGCAGGAAAACTCCATGCAAACAGAACCCTACCTCACCACTACCGTTCCTCTCCCCACTTCTGCTTTCCCCGCTGTGGCGGGTAGTTCAGCGCCTGCCATCACAGCCCCATCCGCGCCAGTCGTGACGCTGGGAAGCGCGATCCTCACTGCGAACAGCGCGACTCAGTTTGTCGTCGGCTCGCAGACGCTACAGCCCGGTGGCCCAGCGATCACGATCTCAGGAACCACGCTTTCGCTTGCGCCCTCCGCTACCGCAATCGTCGTAAACGGTGCTACGAGTTCCCTCGACTTGCCTGCTGTGGCTGGCGGAGGACACCAGGTCATCGCCACCACGCTGGCTCCGGCGCTCACTATCGACGGGACAACCTACACGGCAAACTCAGCGTCTGGATTCGTCATTGCGCCGGGCACGACACTCACCCCTGGCGGCGCGGTGACGCTTTCTGGCACAGTCCTGAGTCTGGATACCTCGGGTACTGCGCTTTTGGTTGGAACGAGCGCGAGCGCGGTAGGGGTCGTGACAGCCATCGTTACGATTACAACGCCTGGGATACGCGAGAGTGGGATAGTAGTGACAAGTGGGGACACTGCCGTGAAAACTGCCGTCGCGCCTTCGAGTGTGGAGACTCAGGGAGGCGCCAAATCGACGACTAGCTCTGCTGCAGCGGGTAGTAGAACAGGGGGCGGGAGGGGCACTGGGACTGTGGGGCGGGTTCGATGGATTGAGTGCTGGTTAGTGGGGTTTGCGGTGTTGGCTTAACTTAAAAGGTTGGCTTCAGGATCGTAACGGGCGTTTTTGGAGGTTGAAATTGTGGGAATTAGGGCTTGTAAAAGGGGGCTGCATGATCTCGGATAGGAACACAACCAGGCATAGTGTTATGGTAGCAGGATTGATCTATGGAACACACGAACACTGGCTGTGGGCTTGTCAAGAATATGCGAGGATGGGATCTATTGGGCAGTACAGACGACTAGTGATATATGTACCCAATAGAAGCTGTTCAGCATATGACACCTTACCACTAAAGCTTCGACGCCTGAGCTGAAATCTTGAGGTTGCCAGCTCGTCAAAAAGCATCAGCAAAAGTTTTCCTTCTCTAGTCTAGGGAACGGATGGCAGATATAGAACAGAGAGGCCGTGTGACGCATCCTCAGTTCTCCTATCTCAAATTAATAGATACCACCGCAGAGGGACCGAATATCTTCGAGTTAACCTAATGACCGGCTCTGTGCTACTCGTTTACGCAACTACGTGCACATTTCTTTCACAATAATGCCGCTTCGTTACACTCTAGCAAATGCTGCTTAACAGGCGGACCACTCAAATGGTCTTCCACAAACTGGGGCACAACAGGGCGGGGCAGCTTCCTACCCTATGGCCGCACTGAACGGTGGGATCACCAGCCTAAAAAGTTAAGGACGGAACAGCCCTTCCCATGAGCAGACAGGTTCGGTATATGCATACGCATTTATCCCATTGGGACTTTCACGATGCTGCCTCGCCTTGTGGATGATAACTTAATAGCCGTTTAAGGATAATTGTGGATCTCGGTTCTATGGCAAGTCGGCTCTCTTTCATCACGAAATCTGATAGGCCGAATCGAGATAGTTCAGCATTGCATTGCCATTTCAATATGATACAACCACCCCCTCTCGCTCCTTCTCCTATGCTGAACAACCAATAATCTCGGGAGAGACAAACGTTATCATGTATCAATCTATTGGTCCAGACGAACTGGGAAGTTGCCGTTGTCTGATATCGCTTGTTAGCGCTTGTGGTATTCATCCGCAGCATTGAAGAGTACAGACCACGCTGGTCGTCCCATCGCTCGACCCAAACGCTGGGGCACAGAGAGCGGTAAGCGTGGAAGAACTGTCCATGTTGTCAGCGCTGTTGATGTGCATTGGTATGGAAGACGAGCGGCATACTTGGCGGCAGGGCGCAAAGTCCTCGCCCTTGGCTAGGATACACTTGTGGTAATCGACATAGTTCTGCCAGCAGTGCTTGGTCCTGGCGGGGGTTAGGCGAGGTTTGTTTGTGGAGTACCCAGGGTGTCTCACTGGTTCTGGTTCGGGAAACGGGCATCGAAGCCTGGATGTGGGAGCCGCGGTTAGCTTATATAGATCCTCTAGACTATTTCCCGGATGATTGGCGCAACTAAGGGTCGTATAGAGGTCGGGAGGCGTTGTGATAGCTCGAGTGGAACATACCGGCTGTCAAGCACAGATTAGCTTCGGGGCAGCTCCAGCGGCGCAGTCAGGGCAACTCACTAGTAACGAACTTGAAGGGCTTGGTCTCGCGTTCTTCGCTGTCAGACATGGTTGCGGCGGGGGGGTAGGAGTTGAGATGGGGTGGCAATTGGAATGGTAGAGCTGGAGAGGTTGAGGTGAGGTCGTTGCAGTCCGTCGGCCGGCTCTGGTGGTTCGAGGAAAACGCAAGGGCCGCTTTCTGTTCCGGCTAGTTCCTTTGAGGAGGAGCTCCATCAAACCGCCGACTTCACTCCAACACCACCCATTGCACCATCACCCACCTCTCCACTCCTTCGCCATGCTCCGTACGCGGGTCCTCGCCATGCAGCCCACTGCTTTCATGCGGATGCAGCCCACTGCCGCCATGCGGATTCAGCCTTCGGCCGTGATGCGGATGCAGCCGACGGCGAGGATGATGAGGCCAGTTCCTGTAAGGTCTACCGCTGAGTAATGAGCGCACGAGGGACTAATGAGAAATGCAGAAAGAGGAGCATAGCGGTGCGTAGGATTGCATTGCTCTTTTCCGAGCTCACGACAACATCAGAAGTCGAACCGTGTGCTGATTCGGACACCCATAGCTCACACCATCTCCCAACGCATTCGCCAGCTCAAGAAGGTTCCCCCGGAATTGATTCCTCTCGGTAAGTTACACTTAACTACGCCTCTGAGACGTTTACTGACTATTGATACAGGCATCGTTCTTGCGTAAGACCCCCGGCTCTCTACAAAGACCTCCCTTCTAACCGAGCCCCAGCGTTGCCATCTTCGCTGCCGGATTTTCCAGTGTCAGGAAGTTCTACACGGACAAGACGCTACGTCTTTCGCGCCAGCATGGAAGCGAGTAGAGAGGCACGATGCCGGTTTCTGTTTAGGGGAGATGAGGCTGGTGGGGCCACTGTATAAATTTGAGGTCAATTGAAGAGCACAATCCCATTTCAATTTCCGTGCGCCACAGCTCCTTTGAATGCAACAAACCATATCCGGTAGGTCTACGCTGGTTTTGTTGGAAGTGTCGGTCCTGCGACATCTAGTCCCTCCAGCCCTTGCATTGGATCTGGAGGCCCTGAAGAGACTGCTCGCGCCTGCTCAGTGGCCAGTCGGTCTTCTTCGCTCACAGCATGCTCCGCCAACCAGCCCTCCTACAAGTTTGTTAGCAACTAAATCTAAATATGTTCATGTGAATAAATATACCTGTTCCCAAATAGCTGTCTTGCTGCCCAGTCCCTCGTTTTGGTCCTTCTGAGGCTTGGCCGGCGCAACTTTGATGACTCGTCCATAAAGCTCACTCTGATCCATGTTGTCGATAGCCTCTTTGGCATCTGCCGTGTTCTCGAACTCGACATATCCAAAACCACGATGAGGGTCGGTTGAAGAGGGCAAGTCCGGCTTGGGCAGAGTGACATCGACTATTTCTCCGAACGGCACGAACGCGTCGTGTAGTGTGCGTGTAGTAACTGCATTGTCAAGGCCGCCTACATAGACGGTGGATTTTATGCGCGTGGGATCCGACATGGTGGCAGTAGGTAGGGAGAGGCTCGCTCAAGTGGTTTTAGGCCGTGATTTCCTCAAGCTGAAGACTCTTGCTTTAATAAGAACGGTGTTTGGTGAGAGGGGAACCACGGTTTTATCTTCGAACTTCGTGGCTGTCGGACCAGACAGTGCCACGAGACGCCTAGAGCTACCGTGATGAATTTGAGACTGATCCAGAGTTTAGAGGAAAAGACAAGTCACGTGTTCCGATGGACGCCCCACACAACATCTCTTGGCTTACGGCCAGGTTCGAGCGAGGCCACCGTGTTGTTGACCATAGCACCATGCAATAAGGACACCAGCCTGCTTCGTCGCTTCCCTCACGTCATCTGTCGCCCTCTGCTTCGCATCCGCTGAACGTTTCCTTTTCGTCTTTCCTTTTCCCACTCTTTCATCCTCCCCGCATCAACAATGGTCCGTCTACGAGAAATAACCCGGACCGCAACCTTTGCCTGGGCTCCAGGCACAGGCCCGCCATTGATTGTTACTGGCACCAGAGCCGGTGCTGTAGATGCGGACTTCTCCAATGAAACCCAGCTGGAGCTATGGGATCTAGCCCTGGACAATTCCCACCAAGGTGTGGAATTGCAGCCCGTTGGCAGCATTAGTGTTGATTCTAGGTATGCTGCTGCATTGGGATGTCAAAATCACTATAACTCACTTTCTAACCACCCCTTTGTAGGTTTCACGATATCGCCTGGAGTCAGCCGAGTGAGGAGTACCCTGGAGGTATAATTGCAGGTGCTCTAGAGAGTGGGGCATTGGATCTGTGGGATGCCGCAAAGCTTCGAACAGATGCAAGGTCAGACTCTATATACACCTCGAATCTGGATGGGGCTGAACATTCGCAGCAATTCCTTTCTTGGTCGATCCACGAAGCATACTGGGGCAATCAAGACCCTCCAATTTAACACTACCAAGCATAACCTTCTAGCCACAGCCGGGGCGAAAGGAGAAATCTATATCCACGATATCAGCGACCCTACAGACCTCGAGAATGCTTTCCGACTAAGCACGTCTGCTCCCAGGGCCGACGACATCGAGACGTTGGATTGGAACAAGAAGGTGCCTCACATACTCGCTACGGGAAGCAATGGAGGCTTTGTCTCGGTTTGGGACGTGCGACAGAAGAGACAAAATATGGCTCTCAACCTCCCAGGTCAAAAAAAGGTCAGCGCTGTGGCATGGGATCCCGATGTTCCAACAAGGCTGGTCACAGCCATACCAGATGATCAATCTCCGGTCCTCCTTGTCTGGGACCTCCGGAACTCCAATGCGCCCGAGAAGACGCTCCGCGGACACGAGCAGGGAATCCTGTCAGTTTCATGGTGTGGTCAAGACGGCGATCTGCTTCTGTCATGTGGGATGGACAACCGCACCATCTGTTGGAATCCTCATACCGGTCAATCGCTAGGAGAGTTCCCGATCGTGACGAATTGGACCTTCCAGACCCGGTTCAACCCTCATAACCCGAGCCTTTTGGCGACTGCTTCATTCGATGGCAAGATAGCAGTACAGACAATCCAGAACACTAGACAGGATGCGGCCCAGGCACCGAAAGCAGCATCACAAGCTTTAGATGGGGAAGACTTTTTCGCAAAAGTGCAGACGGAACCCCAAGGTGCCGCCTTCTCGCTTCCCCAGGCCCCCAAATGGCTCAAGCGTCCAACGGGCGTTTCATTTGGCTTTGGTGGCAAGCTGGTCAAATTTGGCCCTTCTGGTGACTCCGGGAAATCCACAATCAGCATTTCTATCTTCGCTGTCGACTCTGCAATTGGTTCGGCCACGGAAGAATTCGACGCGGCATTGAAGAACGGCGACCTTGCCAAGATCTGCGAGTCTAGAATTGGGGATGCGAGCACAGAGGAGGAGAAGGCTGACTGGACAGTCATTGGGACATTGATATCGGAAAATCCTCGAAAGAAACTGGTCGACTACCTAGGATTCTCAGATAAAAAGGAAGAGGGCGCAGAAGTAGAGACCAAGGAAGCCCCTCAGTCAAATGGCACTGCCGAAGATGGCGCTTCGTTCTTCGATGGAGCTGGTGCGGACGATGGCTTTCTTTCCAAGTTGGCATCATCAAAAACTACCAAAGCCGACAATCCTTTCCAAATCTACGCGGGATCGGAATCGGAGGCTGACAAGGGCATCACCCGCGCACTCTTGCTTGGATCGTTCGAAGCGGCTCTTGACATATGTCTCAAAGAGAACCGGTTGTCGGACGCTTTCATGATCGCTATATGTGGCGGCCAGAAATGTATCGACAAGGCACAGGCTGCGTACTTCAAGGGGAGAGCAGATGGCCCCAATTATCTACGTCTCTTGGCATCGATCGTCGGCAAAAATCTGTGGGACGTGGTGCACAATGCCGATCTCAAAGATTGGAAAGAGGTCATGGCCACTCTCTGCACTTTTGCTGATCAGTCGGAATTTCCTGATCTGTGCGAGGCGCTCGGGGATCGCTTGGAAGAGTCAATTTCGGACAAGAGTGATGCTGGATCGCTCAGGAAAGACGCAACCTTCTGTTACTTGGCGGGATCCAAGCTGGAAAAGGTAGTGGGCAACTGGGCTCAAGAGCTGCAAGAGAACGAGGCCGTGGGCCTGGAGAAGTCTGAGAACGACACTAGCTTCTCTGTTCATGCCAGGTCGCTTCAGGACTTCATTGAGAAAGTAACAGTATTCCGTCAAGTCACCAACTTCAAGGACTCGGAACGCCAGCAGCCGTCGGGCTGGAAGCTTGCCCCCTTATATGCGAAGTATACGGAGTATGCCGATATCGCAGCGGCCCATGGCAAGTTGCAGATTGCTGAGAAGTACCTGGATCTCCTGCCCGACAAATACCCTGCAGCAGATGTGGCTAGAAACCGCGTGAAGCAAGCTACAAGGACAGCACCACAAGCCACGCAGAAACAAGCCCCAAGCGGAGCTGCTCAACGAGCCCAACGTGTGGTTCCAGCAGCGTACCAACCTGGGCCAATTGCTCCTGCACAGCAGCCTTCGAATTCGCCATATACTCCCGCTGGCGTGCCAACGAACGTTCCCGCTCCCGCACACCCTTCACAGTCTGGATATCCAGGTGCTACAGGCGGTCGGAGCGCATACACTCCTGCGGGCTATCAACCTCAGCAAGCGCCTCAGCAGACTGGATATAATGCACCCTCCCAGCCGCAGTATGGAGGATATCAACCCCCACACCCTCACCATCAGCCAATACCCCCACCACCGAGGAACTTTACTGCATCGCCATCGGCTCCTATATTACCAGCAGCGAAGAATACAAACATTCCCGCATGGAACGATACGCCAGACTTTGGTAACAAGCCAATATCTCGACGTGGTACTCCCAGCGTTGGCCCGAATATCATAAGTTCTCCTTTCGCTAACCAACCAAACACTGCCCCTCCTCCAGCAGGCTTCTCCCCAAGCTATCCGCCTCAGCGATCAACACCTCCAGTTGCGCCTCCTCCCAAGGGACCACCGAGAGTTTCTTCTCCGCCTTATTCTAGACTGCAAACCGGCAGCAGGCCGTCTTCTTCGGCAGCAAACACATACGCTCCACCACAGTCGCCAGCGTCATTTGCCGCCCCGCCGCCTCAACACCAAGTCCCACGTGGAACATCACCATACAACCCACCACCTCCTGCTGCACCTCCATCCAACCGATATGCACCGACTCCAAGCGCACAGCCTACTCCTTCACAAGGAATGGCCCCCCCACAACGACAGATAGCGTCGCCGCCAAACCCCTACGCATCCTCGCAGTATCCTCCTAGCCCCGCAGCACAAGCGCCCCCGAGTCAATGGCAGCCTCCGCCACCACCCGCCAAAACTGGTCCCCCTCCATCAGGACCCCCGCGTGGTGGACCTCCAGGTGGACCTCCTAGCGGCCATCAAAAGACAGCATCAGGTGACCGGCCCGGGACCGGACAGTCTCAGAGGTCTACACCTGCGCTTACCAAATATCGTAAGTTCCCCATACATCAACTGCCAAGTAATTCGCATGCTAATGTCTTGATACACAGCACCCGGTGACCGGTCACACATACCCGCATCCGCCCAGAGGATCTACCAAGTTCTGACCAACGAACTGCGGTACGTCGTTGACACTGGAGTTCCTCCGGACTTCGAGAAATACCTCACCGACGCGAAGAAGCGGCTTGATATCCTCTTTGACCACTTGAACAACGGGGAGCTGCTCAAGGCAGACACAATTGAGGAGCTGAACGAGATTACGAGGCTCATAGCAGGGAATGAATACGACCGGGCGATGGCGTTGTTCACCGACCTAATCACGAGGAAGACGGAAGAGGGCAGTAACTGGATGGTATGTGCTCCGCTCCCCGTGACGTGATATCTTTGAGTATTTTACTAACGTGAGGCAGGTTGGGGTCAAGAGGTTGCTCCAATTCGGCAAGAACTCAAAGCCGGACAAGGAAATTTTGAAGGATTGGATCTGAGGATATTCTTTGGATGGGATTGTGTGTCGGCTCGTGGCTTTACCATCGCAGTGAAGCTGTGAGCGCATGTGCCAAGAGCAAAGCGAGGTAGACTGGAGTGAGTGGGTTGGAGAGTGGGATTCTTAAACCAAAAATGATAGAACGATGATCCTTTCGATGTCTTTGATGAGTGTTGAATTCGCTGCACGACCCCAAGAAGCGCTGTAGGATCTTGATGAATTCCACCAGCCCTATGTCCCCTACAATACGCCCTACCCTAAAACGCCCAATATGCCCCTCTTGTGCTGTACGCAATATCATATATACACTCCTGTTTCCTACACATCCCCGTCCTCCAATAGATCCCGTCCTTTAGCTTTTTCCGTTCCCTCTTCTACTCCAACACCGCCCCAGCCCTCCGCTCAACCACATACCCCCTCTCCGGCCTCCGCTGCTCCTTCATCTGGGCTTTCGTCAATGCGGTCTCTACTTCCGCAACGTCGAGAAGCTCTTTCACGGCCATGATTTGGCCCGCGACGTCCGGTGTCACCGGGTGGTAGACGGTGGCCATGCGTTTTCGGAGGCCGAGCGCGGCGAGCACGCCTTTGCGTTGCGCGGGGAGGCCGATGGCGCTGCGCATTAGGGTTATGCGGAAGTATGCCATTGTGGGTTTGGGGGTGGGTGGTAGTGAGGATGTTGATGGTTTGGTCGTGGTTGCGGGAGGTTGTGGAGCTGTTGGGAGTCAATTGAGGAGAGGAGGGATGGGGAGGTGGGAAGGGGCGTACTGTATGTCTGATCGAGGAGGGCTTAGAGGTGTTGATGCCCGCGGGGCGCGTCGTGGTGGTTGGCTTTGGAGTTGCGATGTGAGGTTGGTGATCGCAGGGAACTTTTGGAGATGCGCTAAGATGGATAGGGCGTAGTGGGGTTTGGGCAGAGCAGTCGAAGTGTTGCGTTGAGACCTTTTCCATCCTCCTAGCCCACCTCTGCGAAACCACAAATCTCCTCACTTTGAGAGGACATAGTCATCGTGAACTCACGTATTCTACTCGACCAACTACTCACGTCTAATAGTAGCATTAGAAACAGTCGTTTTGTATTCAAGTCACGCGTCGTCAGAGCCGCTAGCTAGTCGTGGGTATTTTGCCTGATTGTACTCAATATATTTCAACAGACCCGGGCGTTTCAAGCACATCTCATACCCGAGATATGAAGCCGTTATGTATCCCTACACGTGTACTGAGTATTTCTATTAACGTCTATATATCGATGGGTTTCTTCACACATTGTTCTCGCATCTTCTGAACCTCAAGTATACTCCAATGCGCTTTGCGTTTTTACCAATAGAACAGTTGTCGTCATGGGACTCACGATCTCCATTGCTGTCTTTTTATCCTTCTTCACATTCATATGCGGTACTAATGGGGTCCGGATCTTCTTTGTCAAATCACATGTTTCGAGGCGTTAACCACCAGAATCTCCAGTTTCTTGGCCACGTAGAGCGAGACAGATCTATCACCGCAATCGTAGACGCCAATGCCACTGTGGTTCGGCTATTCAGTATGCATTCCGAAGAGAAAAGTTGGAGAAGCCCCGATACTAATGGCATTGATAACAATAGTCAGAAGTGACAAGCACCATACCGATGTAAGTTGCACACCCCTTTAACACTACTCCTTATGGAGACTAATTGAAAGTGTAGCCTGAAAGATCACTAGGAGAATTTGATTTCCAGGTCCTCGATCAGTTCGTCGATACTTTGGCAGTAATACATCATATCAGTAGTGGTTCGTCTTCAGACTTACACACAATGCTCATTCTGATCAACCATTACAGGAAAAACCAAAGTCATCATAGCTCCCCACGATGCGCATAGCCTTCGGGGAACTAACTCGGCACCCTGCGATGTATATTGCGAAGCGCTCAAAGGAGCTTTTCTGGACTTCTACTCACTCCTTTCTATAAGTTCAACTTACACTGGGCAAGCTCCTCGTAGTCTAATTGAGCCACATCTGCAGTCCGTAGTGTGTATAAGAATCAACTAACCACAATGTTCAACGAATATTGCTCTAAGAACTTCTATGGGGCGTCTTGGAGCACGTTGAATCAGGTTATCTTCGTGAGTTTCTGGAACTCGTCGATCGACAATCTATGTGGACTCTAACAGGTGCACTAACCTTAATTAGGGCGTTGATCTACAAAATGAGCCATGGTTCGGAGTCTGGCCAATTGTTGCCTGGGAAAAGTGGTTGTGCGATATTGCTACGCACTTGAAAAATGACGTTGGCCTTCGAAAGAACAATATTGCCGTCATCACCGGGATGCTATCTGGAGCCAATGGTCCCAAAGGGACTGAAAACTTTCCAGACTCCGCCATAGACTGTCCAACGGTAGATGTGATCTCGATTCATGGGTAAGGGATTCACTATCTAATGCAATGCTTAGTACCTTACACGGCTTCAGATATTTCTCTGCCGACGATGCCGGGACTGCAGGCACTCCATGGGTAAGCGACTCGTTACACCAATGAGTGCCATTCTAAGATTGCTTAGGCAGATATATTCCTCCCTGGCAACACTCTCACAAGCCGCCTTCTCGGCAAGAAGCTCCTCATGGTCGAGGCACCAGGACGGCCTCAAGTCTGGAGCCTAGTTCGAGCAGCACTGGACGTGTGGAAAACAGCATCTATATATATAATGATCTTGGACCGGACTACTCTTAAGGAAGATACCAGAATATGTATAATCAGCACGTTAAGACTATAAGCAATACCCAGCTAAGCTTTAAAGAAAGTAAATCTCATAAGGCAGGCTTTAATCTAGCTATTACTAACTACTCTACTAAACGCTATAACTATACTAATAATACTAGTGCTTAATATTCAGAGGGTTTTTCCTAAGCTATAATAGAATATCTAAGGTCTGTAACTACTTATTCTAATTTAGACCACTCTTCCAGGACCAAAAAACTTGCATTACTGTCTTCTAAGCGCTAATAAGGGTATTAGGACTAACTTGCAGACGTAATAGTCTTAAAGAAAAAGGGCTCTACTGCACGACCTGCTTGCAACTAGCCAACATTCAGTAAAGACTCGTGGAAGAAATACAATGGGAGCGAGTGGACAACCAAACAGATCAAAGACTTCAAAATGTCAGCTACACGCGAACCAAATGCAGGCTTCACTACAAGAACGCTGACATTTGGGACCAAGGGCAACACCCTCAACTACCGTGGCATTCCCTGGGTACGTCTGTCATTCCCGGCCTTAATTTCTGCTCAAGCTTCATTAACGCCCGCCCGCTCAAGCTCTTGTCCAGCGTCACCAAACAAGACGAGTGGGAAACTGGCCATGTTGCCCTCCACCGCGGTGCTGGATCTGTCATGGCTGTCCTCACCTCCGCACTCCGCGATGCCTCCACTGCGCGCACCAACTTTGACTGGAGCCGCTATCTCCCCCACCTCCAAAGCCACCCATTCTCCCCACTGACCTCCTAGAATCAAACCCCTACATCCCTCCCCAGAGCCCATGCACTTTCGGCTGCAACGGATGGCTCTGCGACGCGGCAGATGGATGTGCCCCCGGCTCTGTCTGCAAGAACAACGTCTGCCAACCCTGCACCATCGGCTGCGCGGGCGTAACCTGCGACAATCATCGACAGTTCTGTCAAGAATCGATGCAGTGCGTCAACGGAACGTGTCAGGATTGTCAAGCGCGGAAGGGTGCTAAGCCAAAAAAGACGTCGGGCGACCGCGACATCAACATCTCCGACCCTGACGGCTTATGCGCGCTGAATGACCCCTTCGCCACGACAGCAATTTGTCAATTCTGCGATCCTCTCACTCAGTCTTGCAGAGGAAGCCCCTGTGTGAAAGCAGCTGATTGTAACGCGGACGAATATTGTGATTGGGGGCTGTATAAGCCGTGTACGGATAGCTGTTTGGGGATGGCATGTAAGACGTCGATGGATTGCAAGACGGGGAAGTGCAATGAATTTGGGAAATGAGATTACCCCGGGAAGACGAACGCGCCGATTCGACCTGAGGATGTGAGGAGGCGGAGGATCCCGCAGTACTATGCGCAGGGGGCACAGCAGCAGGGGCCGATGAAGGTGAAGGACAATGCGTGGCGAGTCAATGTTCCGAAAGAAGAGGTGAAGCCAACGGGCATGAGTGATTGAGAGTCATTTCGAGGTTTGTTCTCTGCCATCATTAAGAGACGAGATTTCTAGCTGTTAAGATCCACAAAACGCTCCTTGCCTCCAGTTCTCTAGTCTATAGGTACTTCGAAGGTCTGAAGAAATCCCGTATATCTGACTTCTCCCATCGGCGTGGTTCGTTTTAGCATCCCTCGCAAGGAGAAACCTTTCCTCTCCTCTCATCAGACTAAAGACGATCGATCCCCGACTCCCCACACACAGTAAAAAGAACATCCGCGGATCAAAAGACCACCCTCCTCGGGGGAGAGCGTAGAAACCACCGGGCGGTTTACTCCGTGACGATGGACTTAGTTGTTTCCGCGCTGCGGAATTTCGGACGATTCTTCGGGAAATTGCCATAATGCCAATTCCTGACAAGGGCTGGATTCGAACTCACAGCCCCTGCAGGTTGTTGTTGGGGTGCGGTGATCCAGTCAATTGATCTAGGGTCCCGACTTTCTGACCTGCTGCTCGAATTAGTTGGGAGCAGTCAAAATAAACCAAAATAAGTAGCCTTGTTCGGATCTCGAACGCTCTCGTCTTCACTTGTTCACCTGCAGTATTTCACCTTACTTAATCACCTCTTCTATTTCACCTCTCTGTCACCTCTCCCAATTCCTCGGATAATGTCTTAGTTTGGCTGATGCCTTAGACATCTAAGGATTCCTTATTATTTCACTTAAGTCTACTACTAGGTCTCTAAACTAACATACTATCAAATACTTAACATATATTAAGAGAGTCTAAAGTAGACCGCAAAGATATAATAATCTTGGACTATTTAACCATACCTAACTCGATATATAAAACTTAGGTCAACCCGCTTTAACAGACCGCGCAATTTATGGACTTGCGCAATATGATTTTCGCCTTTTTTCAGAATGTAACACACACGATGAATGAAGCAGACATACTCCACCCAACCTTGGTTTAACACTTCCTCTACCAATTGGAGCATATTGCATGCTGAGTGCTCATGATTGGTCCATTCCGAGCTCTTTACTCCAAAAAGCAACCCCACTATACCCCGCCATCTTCTGTTCCTGAGCTCCTCCCATCCGCCATACCACCACAGCTCTACCCTCTATACAACCCAGATTCATTCGTACTCCAGCTCGTAGCAGACCCATCTTCCACCAATTCATCATGGCACACTCCCACTCCCACGACGGCGGCCACAGCCACTCACACAACCCTACCCCCGCAGACCACGGCCACACGCACGAGATCCTCGACGGCCCAGGGTCGTTCCTAGGACGCGAGATGCCGCTGATAGAAGGGCGGACATGGTCAGACCGCGCCTTTACGGTTGGAATAGGAGGGTATGTCCACATTCTTAAAACATCTCCCTTCTCTCTTCCCATAGCTCTCGCTATTCCACCTCAAACTCCCCACGCATCCTATTCCCCCAAACCCCCAAATATGCAACCATGTACGATTCAGAGAAACTATACAACGCTAACACATCCCCCCCCACCTTTCAGCCCCGTCGGCTCCGGCAAGACCGCCCTCATGCTGGCCCTCTGCCTCGCGCTGCGCACCCACTACTCCATCGCCGCCGTCACTAATGACATCTTCACGCGCGAAGACGCCGAGTTCCTGACGCGCCACGCCGCGCTGCCCGCGCCGCGCATCCGCGCCATCGAAACCGGCGGCTGCCCGCACGCCGCCGTGCGCGAGGACATCTCGACCAACCTCGCCGCGCTCGAGGACCTGCACCGCGCCTTCGATACCGACGTCCTTTTGATCGAGAGCGGGGGGGACAACCTGGCCGCGAATTACTCGCGCGAGTTGGCGGATTTTATAATCTACGTGATTGATGTCAGTGGCGGGGATAAGATCCCCAGGAAGGGCGGGCCGGGCATCACGCAGAGCGACTTGCTGGTGGTGAATAAGACGGATTTGGCGGAGATTGTGGGGGCCGATTTGGGGGTTATGGAGAGGGATGCGCGGAAGATGAGGTGAGTGTGCTGTGGTAGATCGATTTTGGAACGTGATGCTAATGAGTGGGTGATTTTAGGGAAGGAGGCCCAACGATCTTCGCGCAGGTCAAGAACGGGGTGGCGGTTGACCACATCGTGAACCTGATCTTGAGCGCATGGAAAGCGTCGGGAGCGACACAGGCGCATAAGAAGGAGTATACGCCCACGGTTTGATAGATGGGGATCGGTCAGTTCAGTTCGATAGTGTTACCCACGGGGTTTGTATTACTACGTAACAAAGGGAATGCCTGACTCCAACCGCACGCTGGGGTATCGTGAATGCATTCCAAAAGTGAGGCCGCAAGTGAGCCGCCCGATCCTGCCCTAGAGGCCGCTCGAAAATGGCAGAGAGTAATCGAAATATGATACAGGAAGGGCCATGTCGTCGTTATGCAATGAGAACCAAACCAATGAAAAAGCATAATGCTGTCGTACAGTCGTGTTCCCATCCAAAAGAGTCCCTACCGCTGAGTTTTCCAACTCGTCCCAATTCGGGCCAAGGAACATGACAAGAAGATCAAGCATGAACAGAAGATCCTACTAGAGCTTCAAATGTCGCTTTTGGATGTGCTGGTGCTTGGAATGATAGGGAGATGAGGGTGTAGTCGTCAAGTCTCCGTGTCGTCGTTGTCGGAGAGGAGGTCGTAGTAGTCGACGATGCCGGCGGCTCTGGCGAGAGCGTCCCAAAAACCTATAGCAGGCCTTGCGATCTCCTGCTCGTCCTGCTCGTCTTGCTCGTCGTGTTCCTCTTCCTCTTCGTCCTCGTCTCCCTCGTGAGAATCGGTTGCCTCATGACAGTCGGCCGCCTCGTCAATGTCTGCCTCCTCGACGGACTCGACAGTTTCGAGAGTGGAGTCCACCACGGAATTGGCGATATCCACAATGGAATTGGCGCTGGCAATGGAGTCACCTCTCATGCGCGAGTTCGATCGAGTTGAGGCTCTGGACAGACGTTCCAGGAGATGCTCACGCGATCGGATGGGCGACTCGCTCCGAGCCCTAGATGCGGCTAAAGGAGCATCATCTCTGATTTCTCTGAGGACTTCTTTGAGGCCTTTTGGCAAGCCGGCCCTAAGCTCCTCAGCAGACTTGTCCTGGCCGTGCGTCTCCATGCGGTTGGCGAAGCGCTTCTCCACGTCGCGCCAGTCAAGCTCAAGACGTTCGATCGCGCGAACGAAGGAGAATTCCGAGTCTTCGTCTTCGAGTGGTAAGGCGTGAGTCTCAATCGTCTGGAGCTGGATCTTGAGGAAGAGAAGTTCGGAGTAGTCGAGGTGGAGGTCGAGAACCAGCTTGTCGTTGATGTTGCGGAGAGTGGTATTCTCTGCGTTGGCTACGTCGAGCTCTTCAAGCATGAGCGAGTTGAGATACTGACGACATGTTAGTAGCTGAACGGTAGGCATGACGAGGTAGTGTACGAAGAATCTCATTACTTACTTTGGTCTCTTCGTGACGCATGCACACTTCTCCAATGGTAGCCAAGATTTCATCCACGGTCCCTTCCCCAGCGGAAGCAGACGCTGGCGGAGGTCGACTCAGGCGAGGGAAGCTCTTCTTGATGGGCGTGTAGAATACATCGTCGAGGTTATGGTCGGCTTCGACGTCACCAAGGGTAGTGCCCTCCTCCCATTCCGTGCGACTGTTCAGCTCTTCTTCAACACCATTGTCTTTGCGGTCCTGTTTCTTGGCGTCCTTCGAGTCGTAAAGGGTATTGCCAGAGAGACCCAGTCCTGTAGCGATATCCATCTCTTCTTCGTCGTCGGTATCTACGAACAAGGCCGAGTCCTCGAGTTCGGACCTGCTCTGGGTCTCGGGAGCATGGACGACGCTCTCGACAGCGTCTATGCGTTCACTCAGCCAGCGCATCCTCTCTTTGCTAATGTCCTTGCGAAGAATCTGGTGGCCGATTAACGTAAGGCGATTGAGGATAAGGTTCTGCGCCGGGGACAGTGACACGTCCGGGGATTGAGATGCTTCGGTGCCATAGTCGGAGAAGGGAGAGTCGAACAAGCTGCGGCCGTAGGACTGCGCACTGAGCGGCGGCGTCTGCGGGTAGTACGGGCACTCCATCTTGGTTGCGTCTACTGCCTTATCGCGGGTGCGGATGGAGTGAGATGGAGGAAGGGTGTGTCGCATGGCGCGTGCAGGCGCCGGCGCATTTTGTTGGCGACGGCGAGGAGCGAGCAGGGTGAATAAAGCGTGAATAGCCAGCTTGGTATTGTTGGGCGGGACGAGGGGGACGATTGTGCTCGTGAAGCTCCTCACTTGCGACGATAGAATAGCGGGAGGCTGGTGGCTGGGGCGCTTCGAACTGACGAGCCCCGCCAAATCGGCCCCGCCATCGGCATGGATCTGCCTTGAACCCGCCGGTACGACAGTAGGGATGTTTTTTTGTTAGGTTCTGGTTCCGTGTTAATTTGAACCTCCATGACTCCAGCAGCCTCACACCCTCATAGCATTGGTTTTTGTCTACCTATTTGCCGCTGATATTGGCCCTTGATTGACTGTGTGCTGCAATGGCTTCGCAAGTAAGCTGCCGTGTTCTCTCGCCACAATTCGTGACTGACCGCATGAACAGCTAGGTGTCCAACCATCTCTCGACACCATTCGAGAGGTGCTGGCCTCTGCTATCCAGTCGCCGAACCCCCCGAACCTCGTCCCCGTCTTCTCCTCCATCTCCGCTGAGTTTCTGACCCCGTCGTCCATATACCTGAAAGTGTCCTCGAAGTCAGTGAGTCATAAGGGCAGGGACAGAGGACAGTTGTTAAGAGTAGCATAGGTCGAAATCAGGGCTTTCATTTCTATTTGAGAGTGCCGCAACAACGGAGACAATTGGGAGATATAGCTTCATTGGTGCAGGTCGGTCGTACCAATACTCCTCCGAAGGACTGTTTTGACGCCTCTAGATCCTCGAGATATCCTGCAGACCGGTCCAGGATTCGGCGACGAAGTCGACCCACTTCCTGCTCTGGAGAAGGAGCTCGCCAAGAGCAGGGTTGCTACAATCCCATCCATACAGCTACCTCCTATGACAGGAGGGGCTATTGGTTATGTCGGCTATGGTAAGCATCTGTACTAATCTCCAATTATGATACCTACTAATGTGTTTTGGTGCCTTTGTAGACTGTGTCAAGTACTTTGAGCCAAAGACCAGGAGAGACGACATGAAGGACATCCTCAAGGTTCCAGAGAGCTTCTTCATGCTGTGTGACACCATGATCGCCTTCGACCACTTCTTCCAGGTTGTCAAGGTCATAACGTACCTGAAGGTGCCGGCGAGCTTGAATGACCTTGAAGCTGCGTATGAGAAGGCAAAGACAGAGCTTCACAGGTTGGTGACAATCATCAAGAGCAAGGACATACCAATGCCGGAGCAGGGACCTATAAAGGAGAGCCAAGAGTATACCTCGAACATTGGCCAGACCGGATACGAGAACCACGTCAAGAAATTGAAAGAACACATCACAAAAGGGGATATCATCCAGGCTGTTCCATCGCAGCGGTATTCAAGGCCAACATCGCTGCATCCGTTCAATATCTACCGTCATCTGCGGAATATCAACCCGTCGCCGTATTTGTTCTTTCTCGACTGCGTGGGCTTCCAGATAGTTGGAGCCAGTCCGGAGCTGCTGGTGAAAGAGGAGCTGGGTCGCATCATCACACATCCAATTGCTGGCACGGTCAAGAGGGGCAAGACGCTGCGGGAGGACGAGGCTCTGGCGAACGATCTTCAGAACTCGCTCAAAGACAGGGCAGAACACGTGAGTCGAACAATCCTCGATGCAGAGAGGAAGGCTGACAACCATTCCATCTCTCAGGTCATGCTGGTGGATTTGGCGCGAAATGACGTGAATCGGGTCTGCGATCCACTGTCGACACGCGTAGACCGCCTGATGGTGGTCCAGAAGGTGAGACACGCAGAAAATCGGAACCCCACTCGAGTGTGATGAAGTTGACCCCGCTGCAGTTCTCCCACGTGCAGCATCTCGTATCAGAGGTATCTGGAGTGCTCCGGCCCGGTAAGAGCCGATTCGATGCCTTCAGGTCGATTTTTCCTGCGGGCACAGTGAGCGGGGCGCCCAAGGTGCGAGCGATGCAGCTAATTGCGGAGCTAGAGGGCGAGAAGAGAGGGGTCTACGCGGGGGCCGTTGGGTACTTTGGATACGGCTCCGTGGACGGCGATAGGGAGATTGAAGGGGCTATGGATGTGAGTGGACGCGTGCTGTGGTTGAGCGAGCAATGGTGCTGACAAGATGCAGACATGCATTGCGTTACGGACGATGCTTGTGAAAGATGGGGTCGCTTATCTCGCGGCGGGCGGCGGGATCGTCTTCGACAGCGATCCCTACGACGAGTATGTGGAGACCATCAACAAATTAGGTGCGTGCATCCAATAAAGATCGACTAGCAGCCAATAGTTGGCGGACAGACAGACGCTGACCCGTGCGTCTAGGCGCAAACACAGCGTGCATCGCCTCGGCAGAAGCCAAGCACCTCGCAGAGCAAAAGGAGGCGGGCGTGGCGGGCGTGACGGGCGAAAGCGATGGCTGGTGATGCGGGCCGAACTTGAGGCCGGCGGCTGGGGAGATGATGGGCTAAGAGCTTGGGCCGTCGGCAAACCATCGGGAGCCTGCGCCACAGGATCCCGCACGTTTCGCTGTCCCGTTTTCCAGGGATGGACCATGCATGTCCGGGCTGCAAGGCATCGTGGAGCGGGAGAGGAGCGGGAGCGAGGTGTCACAATGGCCAATTCCCCAGATTGCATTGAACGGCGCCTCTACTTGAAACGTTTAATCCCGCCGTGACGTTCCCTTCGATGGTGAGGATCCAAGAAATCCTGGAGGCACAGAACACGACTCCCGGGCTAGGAGCATGGGTTAGCCCCGGAGTCGCCAGAGCTTGCCGTGTCACGGCCGCCATTTGGAGGCAGGCGTCGATTGGCGGCGAGCATCTCAATTGAGCCGTGCGCAAGATTCTCTCATCTTCGGGCTATCTAGTGCCCCTTTCAGCTGCTGTTCCCCGTTGCGGGGAGTCTAGACGGAGACCCAAATCCTGCGATCTGCTTCATATCTCTGTAACGGTGGCGAAGAGCGGAGGCCGCGTGGTGATGATGAGGGTGCAGGAGCTAAGGAGCGACCGTTGCGTGTTGTGGCTGGGGTGTGGCGGCACAGCGGTAAAGAAATACCAGGTAGGTACGTGGGTATCTACCTAGGTAGCGGGCGACAGCTCACTGCTCAGCTGTTCCGTCATGAATTCCAAGCTTTTTCTTGCTTTTCGAACGCGTCTAGAGCAGCCACGCGCCCGGTCCTGCGCCTCGACCTTGGAAGTAGAGCCCCTATGGGTTACCCCGGTAGCGAAGGCTGGTGGCAGCCAATTGCACGCGTCAGTCGCGCCAAACCCGGCACGAGTACCTGACCATGTCGCTGTTTGCGGTTTAGCAGCCGCAGGAGCACAGACTGCTGGCGGCGATCTGTGGCTGGCCCGTGGTTGCGGTGATGACGGCCCAGCTTCGAGGGAGCTTGCAGCAGAGACGAGTGAATACGCTTGCCCGCACCCGCCTCTTCTGAAAAACCGGGCAGCAACCGGCGTGACAAGTGCGCTTTCCACGCTGCCCTGCGTAGGAGCTACTGACATTGGCCACCTTAAATTGCTCTCCCGCCCGCCCTTTGTTGACTTCCTCACCACCGCATCCTCCACAAAACACTTCACCTCAGCGCAACCTCAGCTCCACCAGACTCTTCAGTCCCTCATATCCTACTACCCAGTCCACATCCACTACCTGCAACATCAACACTCCACCTCACTCTCCTCACAATGAAGACCTCAATTGCCCTCCTCGCTGTCGGTGCCAGCTTCGCCATGGCCCAGAGCCTCAGCGACCTGCCTCCCTGCGGAGTAAGTCTTCCTTCCCTTCAATCGCCTCCAATGCATTGTCCCCGATCCGTTGATTGCCTCTCACCCGCATTCAATTGCCTCCCGCCCGCGTGGTACTGTTTGCGTCACTCGGCTAACCACGTCTTTGCAGCAAACCTGCATCAACAACATGCTTGGCCTGGGTCCTACCTTCGGCTGCAAGGCCGGCGACGTCGTCTGCTACTGCACTGAGCCCAACTTCGGCTACGGCGTGCGCGATTGTGCCAACGAGGCCTGCGGAGCCAGCCAAGCTGCGTCGGTCATTGCTTACGGCGAGGCATACTGCAAGGGTGAGCTTCTCCAATACCAATTGCACCTCGTCACAGACAACTAACATTTCCATAGCTCTCCTCGCCTCTGCCAGCGCCACCGGCGGCTCTGCCTTGACCATCCTCTCCAGCGCTGCCTCTTCTGCCAGCGTGTCTGGCGCGTCTGCCTCCGCGGCGTCTGCCTCCGCATCTACCACTGGCTCCGGATCCAAGGGCTCGGTCACTGCCATCACCACGGTGCCCCTCGTCGCGACCGTCTCCGGCACGCCCGTCACCACCGGCTTCTCCACTGTCTTCAGCTCCATCGATGCTAGTGCGGCGAGCTCTCTCTCCTCTGCCCTCGCCGGCGCGTCCTCTGCCGCATCTGCTGCCTCCAGCGGAGCTAGCTCGTTTGCCTCGGTTGAATCCTCCAAGGCTTCGTCCGCTGCGTCTGCTGGCGCCTCCAAGGCTTCGTCCGCTGCGTCTGCTGGCGCCTCCAAGGCCTCGTCCGCTGCGTCTGAGGCTTCATCTCTCGCCTCGTCTGCCGCATCTGCCGCCAGCTCCAAGGCCGCTTCTGCCACCTCCTCCGGCGGCGCGCCCATCATGACCGCCGGCCCCATCCTAGGTGCCGCCGGCGTGGCCGCTCTCCTGTTCATCTAAGCCTAGCTCTTAGCAACAAAAGCGTGGTGGACATGACGATAGCCCTGTATTGTCTAGGAGCGCGGTGCCAAGTTTACTGCTTGCGCACTATCGGTGGCTCGGTTCCTTTCTTTTTCTTCCTCTCCCTAATAAACACCTGACGGCGACACGACACGACACCCTTTATGCCCTTTCCCTCCTCCAGGCTGTACCCCGGTTGTATGTAATTAATGCTTTTTGGACGGACTGGACGGGCCGGCCTGCGCATTAAGGCGCGAAGATACCCTCTCTGCGAAGATTGAAGAGCGACGATGACGCCTGGATATGGGGCATGGAGGTACGGGGGAGTAGATAGCGATGGTTAGGAGTAGAATTGATATGCTTCTTCCGAACTTTATAATCTTCTTGCATTGTGAAAGTCTTGATGTGCTGCAGTATATTTTATGCCTTTGTATGTTGGGGTAAAGTGAGGTTGAAGTAAAGATTTGGGTGCTGACCCACGTAAGCCGTGGCTGAGATGATGCGATCGATTCAGCTCCACCGTGAACCGGAGGTATGGGACTCGCTTCATCCAAGGTTGACCTGCACCCTGGATGTTGCAAGAATAGACGCAGTCTTGCACCCTGAATGTTATAAGAATAGTGCCAGGCTTGTCGTTAGTACGGCGGTCTATGACTAACCTTCCCATCAAATCCGCCGCGCGAAACCTCCCCGTCGCCATCTCTTAACTTCGCTTCAAGCATTCCACTCACGTGACAAAACCCTCATCAACATCCCCAATTTCCCAAGTCTAATCACGCCGTCAAGAACTGAAGCCTCGCAAAATACCAACGGACCGGATATCTCACCGCTTGCGCCTTGCCTGCAGACCGCGGTTCTCCATCCAACCGTTTGGACAAACCACACGAAATGTAATACTCACAAACCGCCACGAAAAAAGAACGCTTAAACTACCCAGATGTCCCCAAGAACGCAGCGATTTTCCGATTCCCCCTTTGCGCAGCTAAGTCGCCCCAAAAGTCACTCTCTCATGCCCTGCCCCGTGGGAGAAGAAGAGTGCGGAGTCGGCGACTTGCCAGATCTCAGGAGCGTCAAGCTACGTCGGCGCCGAGCTGATTCTATTCTTATTTCACGGCACTTGCGTATAGGCTTAGGTCACGTGCCATACCCGTGCCTTCCCTTTTCGCTCGACTAACTATAAAAACTCCGCCTCTCCGTGTTCTCCTGGAATTTTCAAGGAAGACTTGAGGAGGAGATGAGCTCCGCGGGGGGGGGGGGGGGGGGGGGGGGGGGTTGGTTTAAAAACAGGAGTAACGCGGCCAAATGGGTGGCTGGCCTTTCCTGGGGAGACCAAACACAGACCTGACACCGCTGCATAGAGTGGATGCCTTTTCTGTTGGGTTAAGGCATGTTTAAAACGAGGATCATTTCGATCCATGTGGGTGCTGTGGGCTGTGGGTGCTGGGGAGGATTGGAGACAGGACTGACACCGCTGCAAGAGTGGTTGCCTTTTCTATGTGATCAAACTCATCCATAGTCGGAGAACAATGGTGGGAGACGGGTTGGAAAGAACAGGAAAGAGGGTTCATGGCGGAATTAGCGTGGCGTGGAGTTTTATTGGAAGTGTTGATGATGATGGTCAGTGTTTGGCGGAGGTGATGATTGGGGCCTCGACTCATCTAGCATGCTGACCACGAAATGAAAGTGGAAGTCGTAAGGAAGGAAATACTCGTATTCATTCCTAATGTCGACTGGTAGGACTAACCATCACCAGAATGTCATCCGCTAAATCTATGATGAGCTATTCAATCAACGTTCGACCACCTAGTTTTTCGAATCTTACAAGACCCCCATAACCCACCACTCGGGACCTCATTCGCGAACCAAGCTCACCAGAACTCCCAACGCCATACTAAAACAACACATCACGTTGGCTTCAATGCTACAGTGCGAGATGATATAGCTAAATCAATGCACATGCCCAATCTGCGTAACTAGGGGCACCAGCATCCCGACCACCGCCGTCGCGACCTCGCTGGCGGACGGCTGGCCGCCCTTCGGCGCCGGGCCGCGGCTGTACGGGTCCGCATAGCCGTTGGAGCCGGAGTCGAAGTCGTGGGAGTGGGTGGGCGTGGCGGCGGAGTCGGTCATGGAGTGCATGGCCACATACCTTTATAGACTTGTTAGATATACTACTTTAAGGGTTGGTTGATGGGAGGCGGAATGAGCGACTTACAGAAATGTTCCGCCGGAAAACAGCAATATGCATCCGGTCGCCCATGTCAGACCGTCGTCGCCGCCGAGCCGGGCGCGGCCGAGGAGGTGGACGGCGGACCACGTTACGAATGCGCCGGCGGGTGCTGCGAGGCTGAAGAGCAGGAGATGGGTGCGAGCGGTGCGCTTGGAGATGCCTTGTTTGAGCAGGACGGAGGTGAGACCGAAGGCCGCGGGGGCTTTATGTAGCATAATCGCTAAGAAAACGATGAAGCCTAGCGAAGTCGATGGGGCGGTTGTGGACGCGCCGAGGGCAATGCCGTCTGCGAATGCGTGGATGATAAGGCCAATCGTTGTTGCAGAGGACCGCGGGCTTGGTGGTTCGAGGCCTGGGGCGGGCGATGAAGGGATGCCCGGCGAGTTTGAGTGATGCGAGCCGCGGGAGAGATTCGAGAGGTCTATGTGGAGAGGCCTGTATTTCGGCTGCGAAGGACCGAGTGTGTCTGGGAGGACGTCTACGAGATACATGAGGATGAAGCCGAGGACGAGAGAAACGCCGACCCAGGCGTGAGGCTCGCGGCCTTTGTGCTCTTCTGGAGTCTCGACTTTGGGTTGTGGGTGGATACGCTCCTTGCCTAGATCGCCCTCGGATGAGTCGTCGTCGCCTTGGGGTTTCTTGGGATGGTCATCATCCTCGTCATGGGCATCCTGCGCATCTTTCGCGGCGTCTTGAGCGTCCTTTGCTCGCGGCACTATGACCACACCGGGAGCTTTCACAGCGCGGAGTTCGAGGTAGTCGGGGTTCACAGCCTCGGAGGCTGTTGGGAGGGGAGACGCGGAGGTTGTTTGGGGGGTCCCGGCGTATTTCCATAGCTGTACTTCTGGCAATTTTACAGACCGCACCGCATGGTCATGGCTGTGGCCCTTCTTTCCAATGCTGTAGAGCGTCTCAATACCTTCTGGGATGATCACTATGAGCGCAGTTCCAACCAGCACACCCGTCCCCAACGCGGATACGAATCGTAGTTGGCGTTGGGAGAGCGCAAGGGAGAGGGGGAGTGCGCCGGCGAGAAACGACCTGGATAGCTAGCAATTAGTCAAAGACACTCCGGGGGTAGCGGGTTCCAGCAGCATCTCCTTACGCGATTGCCATGAGCGTGCTCAGAGCGAGCAGCATAAACAGGCCGTCCCACATGATGGGTGGTTGTTGGTCTCAAGCAGCCAGGTGGAACAAGGGGTATGTATACGGCGAAGGCGGCTATGACGGCAGAACGGAGCAGTAGACAGCTGCGCTCATGTTGCTCCGGACTCAGACATGTCGTCGGTGTGTAGATGCAGCAATGATGGCCCTTAAGAAGAGTGGAGTAGAGGAGGTTCAACAATCTTGAATTGGTAGGGCTGATAGCTCCGTCTGTGCACAGTCCGCCGTCCCCGTTTTCTTAACAGCTGTGAACATAAAGTGGCAGTCTAACACCATCTGAGGTGCCTTGGAAACTTAACAACGTCAAAATTGCCAGGATGGCGTCCTCTATAAGGTACCAGAGGACCTCAAGCGGTGCTAGCCACGTGCACAAAAGTCTAGAGGAAGCATTCTACTGTATATAAAATTGTACTGTAAAAATCACAGACTCGTAGACTGCCACTTTTTGTTCAAGGGAGCCTGGCCCTGAGAGCTGCCGCGCCATAACGCGTGAAGTGCTTCGCGACTTCTGCGACTTCTTCACTTCACTTGCTTCCTTTTCTCTCCAAGACCTCTTCAACATACAAGCTTGCGTACGGCTGCGTCAACCTACTCATCGTATAGTGCGTACATCCTTTCGTTTGATAGAGCTTACATCGCGCTTCCACGCGCAACACTCACCACCATGGAGGAGATTACCACCGAGTTCGACAAGTGTAGGCCTAGCCTTTACGCATATCGCGACTGTGATACTGACCATTTCACCAGGGCTGACCCCCGCGAACGACGCCTTCAATCTGAACCTTGTGCGCCCCACCAAAGAAGGCGACCCCCAGCGCATCTTCGAAGAGCCTTTCCACCCAGAGTTCACATTGGAGATCTTTCCTCAAGACGAGACGATTATCGGATACAGCGACCTAGAGTTGAACCTTGACTTCCGCGCCAATGATCTCAAGCCGTCGCTGCGGATTTCATATGGCGAGAAGTGGAAGGGAGTTGGAGAGCTCAAGCCTGTGGATATCAATGAGGCGCTGAAGAGCTTTCTGCCACCCTGTAGGTCTTCAGCCTAATTAAAACATGATCTGGGGCTACTTTCAGAGCAAGCTAGATAAGGAGAAGCGCTGACATCCTATAGACGCATTCGAAGGTGCTGAAGACAACACGACCGGACCGGACGCAGCCGACAGTTCTTGGAAGCCGCCCGGCAAGCTTATAAAAGCATACTCTCTTCACGGCAGGCAGTTTGAGATATGGAGCGCAAGCTTTCTTGATCCTGTGGCCAGAGAGATCTTCCGCCGAATGCTGATATTCATTCCGTTCTTCATTGATGGTGGCAGGAGACAACAACTAGATGACCAAGATGAAGATGCTTGGCAGATACATCGATGGACGCTGTTCTTGACCTATGAAGTTACGCCGTTGAAGAAGATGCCTGGGGTCTCTCCCTACACAATTGTCGGCTTCGCAACATCCTACAAGCACTGGATATACCCAACCAAGGAGGTCATGGAAGCTACAAACACGAAATTCTTCTTTCCTACCCCTGACAAACCCCCTGTTCCACTGCAATCCGCGATAAACCCCGAAACCTCCGAATACATCGAGTCATACGATCCGCTATCAGCCCCCGCGCGCGAATGCATCTCCCAATTCGCCATCCTGCCCCCATTCCAGAAGCAATCGCATGGCTCGCAGCTTTACGACACCATGTTCGCATCCTTCATCGCCCTCCCCAACATCTACGAAATCACCGTTGAGTTACCAAACCAGGCCTTCGACGACATGCGCGACTGGTGCGACCTGCTCTACCTCCGCAAGCTACCCGAATTCGCCGCCCTCGCCCTTCCCACCACCATCGACTCCAAGGAGCTCGCCAAGGACGCCCCGATCCCTACAGAGAAGATCATCGGCTCAGAGGCAGCCCGCACTGCGCTGCGCCACAAGTGCAAAATCGCCCCTCGCCAGTTCAGGCGCCTCGTCGAAATGCAACTCCTCAGCACCATCCCCGCGGGAAACCGCTCGGTGAGCCGGCTCACGCGGAAGGAGAAGAGCAAGGACGAGAACGACCGCCGGTTCTACTTCTGGCGGCTGGCGCAGAAGGAGCGGCTGTACTTGCATAACATAGACAGCCTGATGCAAATCGAAGCGGATGAGCGGATCGAGAGAATCGCTGAGACGGCGAACAGCGTCCAGGCGGATTGGGAGCGGCTGCTGGAGGGCGCAGAGCGGCGTGCCCAGTGGGAGGCTGCAGCGGCTCAAGACGGAGGCAGTGCCAATGGCGGTTCGAGGGGGAAGCGGAGGAGAGTGGTTGAGAGCGAGGAAGACGAGGAGGATGAGGAGGCTGGTGAGAGAGAGACTGTGGCTGCTAAGCGGCCTAAAGTCTCATGAAGTGGTTGCTTGTGCTGACACTTCATGATACTTTAGCTCGATGACCAGCTAGCGAGTCTCCGCCACTGACTTTGGCGCAATGGCAGGCTATGGTGGTTGAGGGGCCTGACGAGTGGGTGAAGCTGTGGTAAGAAGGCGGCGGAGAGCCGTGTCTCTTCTTGCTGATGGATGGCGTTTTGGGTGCATAGGAATGGCAAGGCTTTTGGAGATACGGCAGCTTCGGACTGCATTATATACCTTAGTAAGCCTGGGATTGGGGCTTTGGGCCGATGCATTGGCTTTGATAATGATAATCGGACCTGAGAATCAGTTTTACGGACGAAGTGTCGAGGACGACAGTGCCGTATGATAATGCTACATGCATTTTGCTATTAGCCTAGATTTGGGCCTATTGCTCTTGCTATAGAAAGTAACCTCGAAATGAATCACGTGGCGTCCACCCTGCGTCTCATGAAAACGGTTCCACGCGGTCAGATCTATTAATCTTTGCAACTTGATTCCACAAAAGGGGGTTCATTGAATTATAGTATTTGCCAGACAACGCCCCTCCAACCTATCTATTATGCTCAGAGCTACCCAATGTATTCACAACCCATCATTTCCCAAACTCGGACGACTTCACCAAGTCACTATACGATATAAAGGGGATCCACACACTCGTCCGCGCCCGATACGCCACATACTGGTCCCCAAAGAACTCGACAAGATGTTTCTCCTCATCTGTAACCCAAATTAGCCCCAGTCCCCTGACCACAACAGCAACAAAATATCACTTACGGCGTATCCTCGTACTAAAAAAATACCACAACACCCCCGCATACCCGACCAAACTAACCGCATTCCCCAGCACGACCTGCGTGCCCAGCCCCCACCAGAAGAAGCCGAAGTACGACGGGTGCCGGAACGTGCGATACAGCCCCGTCGTCACCAGCTCGTGGCCCTCGCTGCGCTTGCTCTGGACTTGGTGGTTGAAGTTCGTGCCGGCCTGCGCCATGGCGACGCTGCGGACGCTCTGGCCGACTAGCATCATTGCCAATCCCAGCGCGATGACGATCGGCGGGTTTACTCTAGACTGCCAGTCCGGGAAGAAGAGGCTGGTTATGGTGGTTTCGATGAGCGCGACGGTGTGTGCCTGCCGGTAGCGCTTCCCGTTCGTGAAGAGAAACGCGGCGATGGTGGCCGTGGGGGTGTTGTACTCGGCGGTCGTCCAGAACTCGAGGAAGTGGAAGACGCAGAGGGCGGCGACGAAGAAGGGCGCGCGCCACAGGTGCTGGTGATAGTAGAGGAGGAGCACGGTGGCGCAGATGCTGAGGCCGAGGACGCTGCCGAGGAGGAAGGCACGCAGGGCGATTCCGGAGAGCGAGCGCTTGCCTGAGGGGTACAGGTCTTTGGAGACCTGCGCGGGGGTGTTTTGCTGGATTGTGGAGGCTTCTCGTGCTCGCAGGGCGGCGTCGAGGCGGGGGGTCCAGGGGCCTGAGTCCGGAGGGCGGTTGACGGGCCAGGAGATGCCGGGGCGCGGGGAGGAGGGGGAGGGGGGTTCTTTGAGGGTTTCGTCTCGCTTGGAGGTAGAAGTGGAGGAAGCGTGGACGGCCATTGTGTATATATATGAGATCGATGCCGGTTTCAACGAGTGTGACAAGTTGGCGATCGAGAGGAGTAAACCAAGACACGCATGGTCAGAAGAACAGAGAAGATGGAGAGGCGGGAGTACCTCTCATATAAGCTGTGACAGGCAGACAAACTAATTGGAGCACAATATCAAGGTCGCGTGTTGTCTGCGCTCTTTGTGTTCTAGGGTTGCTCAGTGGAATGCGGCGTGGTCGGAGGTGTGGGGATTCTGCCACCGCTTTCCTTACGGGATATCACGTGGTGATTATGATGTCCATCCCACTTTCTTCTTTTTCAGTTCCACCAGGATTTCTGGATCCCAGAAGAACCATAAGAGGACACAAAATGGCCGTTTCAGAGAACAAGCAGAAGATGCTCCGGGGCGAGCTTTACCATGCCTTCACTGACGAGCTTGTCGCTGAACGCAGTCGCACTAAGCATGCGTACACGCGGTATAACAATGCCGGTGACATTACGAGACGTGAATTGACTGTATTGTGGCGGGAGTAAGTGAGGCTCCAATCACAATACCATGTGCTTTCCTCCCAATGCTACTGCTCTAACCCCATACATAGCGTGGTAGGAGACAAAACCCCACTACCACCCCCAGCTTCAACAACAGTAGAGGACGACAAGCTATTCGAAAACGACCCCTGGATCGAGCCACCTACCCATATGGACTACGGATACAACCTTGTTCTCGGAGACAACGTTTTCATAAACTGGAACTCTGTCTTCGCGAACACGTGCCCCATCACCATCGGCAGCCGCACGCTCTGTGGACCCAATTGCTCTTTCTACAGCGGCCACCACCCACTCGATCCCGCGGTTCGCAACGGGACGCAGGGTCCGGAGTTGGGCAAGCCGATTACCATTGGTGAGGATTGCTGGCTGGGCGGGAATGTGACGATCTTGCCGGGGGTGACTATTGGAAGGGGGTGCACGATAGGTGCGGCGAGTGTTGTCACCAAGGATGTGCCTGATTTCTGTGTCGTGGCGGGGAATCCGGCGAGGGTGATCAGGAAGGTCGAGACGAGTATGGATCCTACTCAGAAAGGGGTTGAGGGGTCGAATGATCAGGTGCAGGGTGCTGAGAAGCCTATGGCAGAGACGGCGGAGAAGGCTGAAGCTGCGTAGTCGGGATAGCGTCTAGAAGGTCATGTATATACATATCATTATGCCTTTGCATGTTAGAGAAGGTGCCCATGAAACTGGGTGACGCTTCGATCGGAGCCATTTGAAAGAAGTTTAGAACTTGGTTGACGAATCTTACCTCTTCAAGGGTCATGAGATGCATTGAAGCCCTTTAAGGAGTGCGACAAGTATAGAGTACACGTAGCGAGAACGAAACGATTCCAACTTGCGAAATGACAAACCATCACTCATGATACTTATCAGCATAAGCTGTCTGCTACCCACTGCTAATGTAATTTGCGAGTTGCTTTGCAAGCATCTCGGCGCCTGAGAGACGCTATGTTGGAGCGGTACCGTCCGAGCTTATCGTGCAGTTACTGTCGCGAACTTCCACTCGTGGTGGTTACCAGCGTTTGGAAGGTCCGGAATGCACCTGGCGGCATCCTGTTGCCCGCCCTTCTCCCATATCTTAAATTGCCGCAACCACAGTGCGTCAGGGTTACGGCTTTCCAGAGCGCTCCGAACCTCCTCCTGCTCGTCCACCAACGGGTCCAACATGGCAAATATGTCGTCAAAGACATTCTCGCCCACCGCCACATTCTCCACGACGATGACAAGCAATTTGACCAGACTCTCCCAAATTAGTCTTGATGGAGCATCGACGTAGTATTCTAGGCGCGGTCGAACTTCCGAGTTGCGCTCTGATACGACGATCTCACGACTGTTGAGACTTCGCTGAGATGAACCGAGAGATACAATATCTCTCCTCCCGTGGGAGGGTTTTCGTACGCTTTGTATTGTTCGGCGGTATATGGTCTTAATCTCCTCCCAAGTCCCGTCGATTCGAGTCCTCATGAAGTCACCCGCGTGAACACACATCAAGCCTATAACATCCAGAGCACTAGCCACAACGTACGCCTCCGGATCGTCCAACCGCGGAAGAAGCACTGGCCAAAGGGTATTGATTAGAGGCAGGAAGGAGTTTTCGTGTGCCGATAGCGCCGGAAAAGTGGTATTGAGCAGCGACAACAGAGACGTTCGAAGTGACGGGGAAGATGATGTTAAGTAGTGCTGAGTGAGTTGCGATATCTTCAAGAGGAGATTGAAGGTTCTAGGTGCGGGAGGGGGTGGCTCTGGCTTGTCGGGCGGTGGCTCATCTTCAGGCTCCTCCTGTTGCGGCTCTTCTCCCACCCTGTTACCCGAAGCTTCCTTCCATGGCCTTTCCGGAAAAGCCTCGTCAAATCGTTCAGATCTCTCCTTATCAGGTTTGGCAGCATTCTCCATCGTCTTTCTTAGTAATTCGGCAACGTCTGGTAGAGTGATCGGCTTCCACGCAGTTTTCTGATGCAACGCCTTTTGGTCCATTGTGATCGTAAGCATTGGGCTTTTGACCCCTTCCTCAGCAATGCCCTTCAGGACCGCGAAGAGGAGTTCGACCAACTTTGGGTAACCATGAAAGTATTCCAAAGCAGAAAACATGCTCTCGACAAGGTCATCTAAATATGGCAGTAGAGACGGCCCTGATAATCGTATCATCATGAGTAGTACCTGTGGGGCTTGAGGGGATATGTCGAAGTTGTTTAGCTTGAGTGCTATTGCATTGACTAGGTAGTCTGAGTTTGAGACAATGAGATCGCTAGTGTGCTCGTAGCCGCAGGCATCGGAGATGATGTTGAGACACGTAATTGCATGGTTGCGCAGAGCTGAGTTTGAGCTACCAATGTGATGGATCACAGGGTAGAGGGAGTCTACAAGCTCGATTTTGAAGTTCTCTTTATGTTGGTTTGCCTGTAGTGCGATGATCTCGAGAGCTAGAGCTTGGAAGCGCCAGTCAAGTTCCACATCGCCGTCTGGATCTGCCAAAAGGGACAGAGAGAACGCGTAGAGCTCCTGGAGTAACTCTGTCCTCATGTCTCTGCTGGACGGCCCTAGGTCCAGGAAATCCTCAATGCCCGGATTCAGGCTGCTGTCGGATCTCACTAGATTCAACGACAGCCAGAAACTGGCGAGCTGCATTTCGCTCTGCCCAAACCGAATCGAATCGACAAGCTCTTTGGCGATTGTAAGGGACGAGTCGGACGTCGCGAGCTGGTCTATGAACGACGTAAGCTCTCTCATGGTATCCTGCCTGCCTTTAAAGCCCATGATCAGAGGCTGGAAAGTACTTGACCGGGAGCCTTCTAACCAGCTCTTAGAGACGGTGATTGAATCTGTGGGGTTTGAAGAGATGACAGATCCCACCCCTTTCGACTCCTTGATCAACGCCGAAACGCTGTCTCGAAGGTTCGATGCCATGACGCGGTCAACAATAGTAAGGTCAATTCCCTGCTGGTTCAGGATCCGAAGTGATATTGAAATCTGCTGAATGAGCTTCTGCTTGGCTGCGTCGTCGGGCGATTGCATAAGGCGCGGAAGAGCCATCACCCAAGCGTGGAGGCTTGATCTTAGCAATTCCGCTAATTTTGAGTCTTCGAGCAGCATCAAACTTAAGTCCATCTCAATGCCGTCTTGTTCATCTTTGCTTGCTAGCGAAACCATGGTTTCGACTATCATATTAGTGCAATCGGAGAGCGAACTTCGACAATCCTGAATAATCCTCTTGCACAATCGAAGAAGTGCTTTACGAACCTCAATCCGCTCATGCTGGCGTAGTTTGACGATGTTCGCTAGAGCAAGCTTAAGCTGCCCTGATGTCGCTCTCAACCATGATCTGCTACGCTGGAGGGTAGCTGACCCTCCCGATGGGGAAGTCGACGGTACATCCGGAAGGTCTTTGGTCTGCTCGTCACTGATGAGTGCTAGAAACAGAGCACTGAAAAGATCTAATCCTGATTCGATCAAACGAAAAGGTGTTCGAGAATTTGAAGTATATGCCAAGACCTTCGTTGCGAGCGCAGAGACTATCCCTGGCATGAAACTAGCGAGAGCATCTCGATCTTCAATGGTGAGGCATGCCGTCTTCAGCGCAGCGAGTGCCGCTAGTCGTATTTGAGTTGAGGCACCGTCAGTTACACCCTGTAGGAGGACTGTGATGGTCTGACCAAGGGCGGGAACGTTCGCCGTGGTCGTGAGAGAGTCCTTTCCTTCCTGTGTCGAGGAAAACGAGGTGAAGAGCGCGGACAAGCAATGAAATGCGGTTGCTTGCAGCTCCTCAGAAGTCTTCTTGACGGTCCTTCCAGCAGAGGCTGGGTCAGCCAAGAAGGTTAGAAGAATTAATAGCTGCCCTCCTAAGCTCGAGCCGATGTGAGATCGCCAGCCCGTGTTTAATAGAATGGCAAGACATTCTAAAGAGAGCTCAAGGGCACGTAGTGGTACTTTCTGAGATACTTTGAGGACGTGAGACACAGGAAAGAAGACGTAATCGGCGAGCCTTTCATCTAAAGCGCCTGGAGTGGATGTAACTTCTTTAAGAACATTAAGTAATTGGCCCAGACCATCGATGACCTCTCCACTGTTCCCAGAGCCCCCGGCGAAGCTCAGAGCAGCCTGGCTCAGTCTTATACAGGGAGCCTTCAACTACTGGGGGTTAGATGGGCTGATGAAAAGAAGTAAAGGGTCGACCAACGGTCTGAAAGACTTGATTTCTGCGCTCCATCTCTGACTTTCTAGTTGCTGCATGGGCGGCGCTGTATTTCTAAGAGACGTGGCCACTTCCAGAAGGGTGTGTTTGCAGAGCAAAGGCCTTTTAGATGAGGGCTGATGCCTGTGGTTGTAGTGAATGGGGTTGCAGGCGGTCTGGTCGGCCGTTGTGCTTGGGTCGCGCGTCTTTCAAAGCTGCACGCGTGTGGACAAACCTCGCACCACTCTCCGGCTCACCATCTCCCCGCCCTCACCTCGATCAATTCTCCTTTCTTTGATCCATACTCTTGACGCGACTGATCGGCCTCATTCGCACACACCTCTCTGGCGCGAGCTGCCAATTGTCGGGCGCCCGCATTACCGACGACCGTACCACCACGCGACATGGCCACTCGGAGCAGGCGCAGCGCCGCGACAGAAGTCATGGAAGAGGAGGAAGAAGAGGGCGGCCTAGTGAAGCTGCGCTTCAATGACAGCCTCGTCGGCCGGCCTGGGAAGCCCATATCTGTTGGCGACCTCTTGCGCCGCCTGCAGGAGCTATCTCAGGAGCTGCGGGGCATGGAGCAAGAGGAGGCCGAAAGAGATTCCCTGTTATCGGTTGCAAAGGAACTGGCGCACCATAATCTGCTGCTGCACAAGGACGGAGGAGTACGCGCGTGGACGGCGTGCTGCATTGTGGATATGTTCAGACTATGCGCCCCGGACGCGCCGTATACAGCATCACAGCTCAAGGTGGAAGAGACCAGATCCCGAGAACTCAAGAGCTAGAGACTGACTGAGTATTAGGACATTTTTACTCTAATTATCGCAAAGATATTCCCAGCGCTAGCCGACCCTTCGAATGCCTACAACGCCCAACATCTCTACGTCCTCAAATCCCTCGCTGAAGTCAAGAGCATCGTCCTTCTCACCGATATCCCTTCCTCGAACACTCTTGCGCTACATCTCTTCACGATCTGCTTCGACGTACTCTCTGGTCCCTCAAAAGCAGACTCTGGCGAGGAGCTGAGCAAAAATGTGGAGCACCATATGACGGCGTTGCTCGGGGCCCTCGTGGAGGAATCGCAAGGCCTGCCTCCTGAGGTAGTGGATGTGATACTGGCGCAATTCCTCCGCGCTGACCCAAGAGTCATGACGAGTACCGGCACGAAAGGCAAGAAGCATGTGCCGATTGATGAAAAGCAGATGACCCTGCTCTTGAAAGAGGCCCCTCCGGCGTACAACATGGCCAAGAATGTCTGCAATTCCTGCCCCGATAAGATGGCTCGTCTTGTAGGGCACTATTTCAGCTCTGTGATTGTTGATGCGTCCACGGCCATCTCTTCAATGCCAAAAGTTCGATCGCGTAAGCGCGCCAGCAGCGACCTAGACGACTCAGAAGACGAAGGCCCAACGGCACCTTCTGAAGAAGATTTGAAGGAGGCCAAGAAGGCGCATAACCTGCTGCGAGAGCTTTGGAGGTGCTCGCCAGACGTTTTGCAAGACATCATACCTAACCTCCAAGAAGAACTCAGTGCAGAGAACCTGCAACTGCGCCTACTTGCCACAGAAACCTTTGGTGACATGATCGCTGGTATTGGAGCTGCCGGCCCTCCACCATCGCCGGTCTTAGACCCTGCCGCTTTCCCTTCCCAAAGTCTCGCGTCCGCATCTGACACTTTTCGCGCGTACAATTTCCTTACGACGCCAACTTCGCCCCATTCGTTCCCATCTCAGTATACGCAGCCGTACCAGGCTTTCCTCCAGAGAAAACAGGACAAGTCCCCTGTAATTCGTGCTGCATGGGCCACGAGCATTGGGCGGATTCTAATGACATCTGCTGGCGGGGCTGGCCTGGATCAAGAGGAGGAGCAAAAGCTGTTGAGGTATTTCTCGCAATCGCTGATAGACAGCGACGAACGTGTCCGCGTTGCTGCGATAAATGCAATTGACCAATTCCCATTCCAAGATATCGTGGAGAAACTCGGGAGCAACGGCATAATGTCCGAGCCGGGATCAATCCTTTCCAATCTTGCCGACAGAGTCAAGGACAAGAAGCCTAACGTACGAACTGATTCCATGAAACTTATCGGGAAAATCTGGGGCGTAGCTGCCGGTGCCATGCTCGAAGGAAACGAGAGAGTATCGGCACTTCTTCAACCGGTTCCGTCAAAGATCCTCGAGACCTGCTACATCAACGACAAGGAAATCAATGTTCTCGTGGACCACGTCTTGTATGAGTATTTGCTTCCATTAGCATTTCCACCCATTAAAGCAAAAGCAGCAACCAATGGAAATTCGCAGGCCGTGAAGGACAGTCAGAAGAGCGGTTACACTGAAGCTGAAATTGATAAGATCCGGACGGAACGACAGCTGCTTCTGGTGAAAGGCTTAGACGAAAGGGCCAAAAAGGTCTACTTTGCCAAGCAAGGAAACCAAGCCGCTGGCGTTAAGTTTATGGAAACCTTTCTGGGGAAATGCGAGGAATACAACGGCGGCGTCATGGACGGTAACGAGAAAGAGATCAAACAGCAATTGAACGGTCTCATATCCTATTATTCGGGGACCTTTGCGGATTCGCAGCGAGCCCAGGATGATCTATGGAAATTTGTCAAGGCCCATGACCGACGCAACTATCAGTTAATCAGGTTCTGCATGGCACCGGATAGCGATTATAGAAAGGTGCACAAATCAATTGTAAGTTCAACGTGGTTAAGAGCGAAGAACGTCACTAACGTCATTTTAGAAAGAACTTAGGAAGAGGATAGAGGATGCGCCAGGCTCATCTACTCTGCTGGAGACCCTACAGGCCCTTCTGTATCGAGTGAGCATACTTGCTTACAACCGAAGCCACGTACCTGCGATTATCCAGTACTCACGCACAAACGAGCATGGGTTCGCATCAGCAGCCCACGAAATACTGAAAGAAATCTCCACTAAACATCCGGATGTCTTCAAGGCTCATGTACAGGAGCTATGCAAAGTGTTAGAAAGTGGAGCACCAACGGCCAAAAAGCCAAATGGACTCAATGCGGTAGATGATCTGAAAGCTTGCTCTGGGTTCGCCCAAAAGTTCCCCGCGGAGTTGCCAAAGGACAGAAAATTCGTACAGAGTATGATCAGCTTCGCTCTCTACGGATCGCCTCCCAAGGCCGCAAAGCACGCGGTAACGATTCTGATGAGCAGTGCAGATAAAAAGGAAATGCACGCGAAAGACCTTATCAGCAAATGCACCAAAGGTTTCGAATATGGTTCGGGTCATTACTTGACACGACTTGCAGCCTTAAGCCAACTTATGCTGCTTGGCCCCAAAGATGAGGAAGACGTTGACGAAGTGACGGACATCGCTATCACGAATGTTCTACAGAGGGAATCTCCGAAAGCTACGCCTGGGGAGCCGGACTGGATGGACGTTCCCGACGACGACCTGACGGCCAAAATATGGGCTCTGAAGATCTTAGTCAATCGACTCCGCTCCATATCCGCTGATGCCCCAATCGCCGAGGCCGCCACTACGGTGTACAAGTTCCTAATGAAGCTAGTGACCAAAGAGGGCGAGCTTTCTGAGACGGGCGACTCCTCTGCTCCCCACAAGGCCCGCCTCCGTCTTGTAGCAGCACAATTCCTGTTAAAACTCTCGTGCACTCGTCGATTGGATAATCTGCTGAATCCCACCTCATTCTACTCTCTCGCTACCGTGGCCCAGGATCCCCACACGCCTGTGCGTACCGGATTCATCAACAAGCTGATGAAGTATCTTGGCCAAAGTCGTCTTTCGAGTCGCTTCTTCTCTATCATATTTCTTCTTGCGTATGAGCCCGAAGTGAGTCTTAAAGAGAGTGCGATCACCTTCGTTCGCTCTCAGCGTGCTCGCATGGCCGCGCGCAAGGAAACGACATTAGAGCAGGTCTTTGCGCGGCTTATTAGCTTGTTAGCGCATCATCCTGACTTCGACACTGACGCAGAGAGCCTCCAAGATTCCGTACAGTATATCCTTCTCTATCTCAAGTGCGTCGCTACGTCGGAAAATCTCTCTCTTATCTATCATGTGGCGCAGCGCGTCAAGAGTGTCGCTGATGGAATTTCGAACAATGTCGAGGCCGACAAAAAATTGTACATGCTCAGCGACCTGGCGCAAGCAGTCATCAGACTATGGGAGGAGCTAAACGGATGGAATATGCAGGCATGGCCGGGGAAGCTGAAGCTTCCAGCTGGCATTTTCAAAGCTCTAGAGAGCCATGAGCGGGCGCAGGAGATTGCCAACAAGATCTGGGTGGACGAAGAGGCGACGGACGGTCTCGACGCCATCGTCCGGAACAGCCTGCGAGGCAAGAAAAGGAAGAGCCTTGCGGATCACAATGCGAACTTCAAGAAGAAGCTAAAGATGCCGGCCAAACCCAAGCCCAAGCCGAAGACTCCCAAATCTGTCCGTACGCCAAAGAAGAAGTCGAGGCGGAACGATGACAGCGATTTAGAAGGCGATGCCGAGCCGTCCAGTGAGATTACACGTCGCAGTGTCCGCAAATCGACAACGAAGAGCTACGTCGAACTGAGCGACGACGAGGATGAGGAGCAAGAGAAGCAATGGCAGAATGTTGAGGAGGAAGAGCAGGAGTCAGCCGAGAACACCGACGCCGAGGGTGCCAAAGAGGACAATGGCCACACGAATGATGTTAATATGGATGATGCCGACGCTGAACCAGGTGCGGAGGTGCCCGGTTCCGAGGATGAACTTTACGCAGACCCAAAGCCAATAGAAAAGAAACAGACCCGGACGAGAGGTGGTAAGAAATCGAATGGAGTGTCCCTCCCTTCGAGATCGAAACAGCCTTCCTCGCCTACTGTCAACGGGAAAGCTAAGCAGAAGCCGAAAGCTAATGGCAAGGCTCTTGCTGAAAAGCCGAACGGTCGGGCCACGAGGGCTACCGCGAAAACTGTAGTTCCAGCCTCGGACGATGAGGATATTTCCGATTGAGCTCAATTTGATTCAATATGGCTACCAACGCCAGGTTTTATGGTAATTGGGTAGCGGGTTGTGTTTAGGGATGGGAAGGATTCACGAGAGTGTGGGGAAAGACTGGATCCCAACATCGGCGACAAATGAGTAATGATGTCCTACCAAGTCCTGCTTTCATGCCATGCTTTCCCCACTTATGTTTCTACCAGTTTTCCTTTCTAATGATGGTCAAGTGAGGCTGGGTAGTGCATAGCGTCCGTCCGTCTTCTCTTCGTCACGGATGGGTACTTTGCATGGCTGGCGTTGTGTTTTCTCTACTGCCACAAAACTGTTCCTGCTTTAGCGTGGAGCGAGTGCCGCATACCTGGCGTTTAGCGGGAGGTGTTTTCTAGTTGTTGTTGCTTGATTCAAGCTGTCATATTTGTCGCGCCTGGAGAAGGATAATGTCCATGAGACTTACGGTAGGATACTTCCCAGAGTCTACAATACCGGATAGCTGAGATATGGCAATCATCTAATTCCAAGAACGAATGGCCTATTGTATGTGTGTGGTGCATTATGATGTATGTACACACAGGGTCATTATTCTTGGTCAGAATCGTAAGTGAGTTGCGGTGTTTGTTTCACAACCTCTACAGTAACCGCGGATGGCTGCTCTAGCATCAACAATCCTTTCTTCTACTCGCTTTCATGTGAAGTTACGAACCCAATGCGGAGCTCTATCGGAAACTCGAGTATAAAATTACCCAGATTGACTCCATCACTACTAATAACTGGCGCCTGAATTCTACTGCCGGTCTATCTTGATTCCATCCGTCTGAGACCTTTACCGATACGATTCAATGATATTAGACACCAGAGCGAGTATGTGACCAGCTAGCTGAGTGCTGAGGTAGCTATCAACATCAACGACCATTTAAAGTTGCGCCCACCAGAGGCAGCTGCTTGGCGATAGAGGTTAAATTCTATATCGAGGAAAGCAGAACTACTTGCATTCGAAGGGTCCGTGCTAGACATGGAAGGACCTGTACACGTTGGGCATGGAAAAAGGGGCACACTCATCACCCGTCTGCCACTGCATGAAGCGCTTTAACAAGTTTCCACATAGCCCAAGGCAAAGAGCAAAGAGCTTCTATCCTCTTTAGATTCCTGAAAATACATTGAAGCAACCCAAGCAGCGGCAGACAGGTGTACACACGAGACAGCTTGTTCTGGAACTAGTGTGCCACCTTCTCCATGCATGCCCCGCGTGCCTGTGACCCAATCGTGACCCGTGGCTTCAACTTTGACTGAATATCTCTGGTAGTTCTTCATGAGAGCACACCGTGAACAAAGTACATAGATTCCGTCGAGGACTGTTGTTGCTGCGACCCAGGAGCTTACACCAAGCCTCAAACTTCCATCTTTCAATCAATTGCTCCTCACCGATCGGCGACTGATGATCCGTCATGCTGTCATCACTCCAGGACATCGAGGTGGCCAGAATAGATCGAGCAACGACAACCTTTTGAGTCGAATAGAAGTCGGCCCTGGGGACAGTCTTCTGGGCCAAATAGAATTCGTCCGTGGCCTGTTCTTCTAAAGCATCCTGCTCCATAAGCACGACCCTTGAGGCAAATTCATGACTCTCGTTTTCCAGTTCAATCCGCATCGAGGAACTTATGGCTCCTATGAGACGGTTCAGAAGCGCTGTCACCGAGAGATAGACCCCAAAGAATTGCCAGCGAAAGACGGCATAAGCTTCTTTTGACTGCTGGTAGGAGGTATCTTCTATGAGCATATCACGATATTCATGACGCCATTCCTGGATCCGGCGGCGGATATTGAAACCGCGGCAGGCAAGTTCGTGTACCGACTTAGGCGGATGCTCACATCCTTCGGTGCAGGTAGGGGCGTGAGAGTACTTAGTTCCTTGTAGAATGTCCTGTCCACATACGATGGCGGTGACATCGCGAAAGTATGCGCTGACATGGACGATGCGAGCCCAGAATTCGACAACCATGGGGCTTCCTTCAAGTGAAGAGTGCGGATCAACCATTGCGTATACTGCATTCTGCCACCCTTCCTCTACGATGAAGCGGTTGTCGTTTTGCCACATGGCGTCTGTGAACTGGGCGTTGGCTTGGTAAGTAGTGTGGTTCGGTCCGTAGGAATTGGGATGCGCTTACGATGGGTCCGGAGAGCGCCATGAACAGCGATATCTCATAATCAGATTTGTAGCTGTTTGGACCTCGATGTCGAATTATGCAAGCAGCGCCGTCCAAGTGGTATTGCCTAGTTCCTTGGTAGTGTTGCGAGAATTCGAGAAACTGTAGAAAGTTAGTATGAGCCGAAACCATGGCCAACGGGCCAACTGCCGCAGTTTACATGAGCTTTGGGACATAAAAATGAACTCTTAGACACACTGTGTACTGCTTCCGCGGGCCTCTCATGCTCTCACGAGTATGACATATAATCGCGATTGCTTGCAGTTTATGAGCTTGAAGATATAACATCTTCGTGGGAAGCTCATACGCTGCGCTGAGAACTATACCAGTGCAGCATCTAGTCATGTCGATGTACCTAGCCTGTATGATAGCTACCGGCCAAAGTTGAACTCACCTCGAAAGCGGCGAGCAGTTCTGTCGCACATAGCGTATCCGGGTTTAAGACCTGAACAGGATCGTTGATCGCGTTCTGAAGGCTCTTCAGAGCCTTACTATACAGCCCGATCACCATCACATCCGTTATAGCCGCGTCGTTAGGGCAGAGCATCCGACGCATCTTGGCTGCGAGACAACTGGCTGCGTCTTCCATACAGACGCTATTCCCGAATCGAGCCGGTACATGGCCGATGTAAGAGACCTGTTTGCACTGGAGGAGACCAGCGAATATTGCAGGTTCGGACGCAAGCCTGGAAGAAGCGAGTCGGGCTAAGTGCGACGAAGCGAGTGAAGGGAGTTCTAAAATATCGACACCGAATCTTATTCTCATCGACTCGAAACCTTGTGCAATTGGACTAGACGGGATGGAGTACGAGTTTCGGCATGGGGCTTGTTGGATTTGACTCGTCGCTTCCAGTTCATAGTCTCCATTTTGGGCTTGATTGACCTCTTCATCCAGTAGCAGCATGATCGGGTACTGGCGAAGGTTGTGCTTCCCATAGTTCCCACGGGCTCTTCTTGAGACAGCAACAGCGCGCATTGCCTGTTTGCGAACTGTTTTCCGGTCCACGGACTGCTTGGATCCATCGTCGTTGAATTCTTGGGAGACGAATGCGAACTCTGGTCTGGAAGGTTTGAGGATAGCCATGAGCGAAAGCGGTAAACAGTGCTGTGGTCTTCTAATCAAGGAGAGAGGTGCATATTGGTGCGTGTGAACGAGGAAGCCCGCCTCTTTCTATGCGCCCCCCGCACGGCGATTGACAAATCCACATACTGCACAAGCCGATTGGGGCGGTGGCATGACGGTGAATGGTTGGTGCGAGCACGTTGCTGTAGTTTATTGGGAAGTAAAGGAGGGTTTCCACCCAATGTCAAGAAGGCGTGCTTGATGCATTGTGCACTTGATGTGCGAAAAGACGCTATTTTCTGCCATTCCAAGACTTTTCTCAACATGATGACCAGGGTACAACTGCCCTAAAAGAGCCTAGTATAGATCCTTCAACGTCTAGCACGGACCCTGCGAATGCAAGTGGCTTCGCTTTCCCTATTAATGATTTGACCTTTATCGCCAAGCAGTTGCCTCTCTGGTGGCCGCAACTTTAAATGGTCGTTGATGTTGAGAGCTACCTCACCACTCAGCTACTGAGATTGCTGCAAACCGTCGTGCTCGTGGGCAGGGAAGGCGCACTTTTCCAGTCCAGTCCAGAGTTGCGATGTACACGACAAGCCGCTGAGCGATTTCAGTGCTGGCACGGGCTGCAACGGAGGCACAGCGTACAGCTGCACAAATCAAAGCCCGTGGGCAGTCATGACACCTTCTCCTACGGTTTTGCGGGAGTGTTCCTCAAGGATCATGTCGAGAATTGCTGGTGCTGTGCTTGCTACGAGTTGAATTTCACGAGTGGAGCAGTGAAGGGAAAGACGATGGTATTGCAGGCACAAAATACTGCGTACGATGTCACATCAGTGAACAGATTTGCGTTGGGTGTCAGTGTCTAATATATACGAATACAAATTGCAAGTTCGCTAATCAGTACTCATCAGATGCCTGGTGGGAATACATCAACGAATGATGCCTGCGCTACTGAGTTCAACGTACCTCAGTCCGTTTTTGGCACCCCAGGCGTAGGCGTGAATACCCGCTCGGACTGCGACAACCTGCCGAACGCCATGAAGGCTTCTTGCTACAAGGAGTTGAGATAGTTCTTATGGGGCTCGATTCTGATATTCATGGATTTCGGGACATTCTGAGCTTGCCGTTGCTTATTTCTCGCGGCGTACACACAAGAGGACTTTTTGAGTATGCCACTATTTTCCCGCCTAGCGTGCGAAGCAGCAGCCCAAACGTGACGAAAAAGGGATGGAACGCGATGAGGATAGAAGCAAGACTTAGATAGGTAGGGGTTGAAAAAAAACTTCTTTGAGCGTACTGAGACAATTATTTATCTCCTATTTTGCTGCATTTACCATTACTACATCGTCGGTACTGCAAAAACTGTTCAGTGCAGACCTCAAGTAATTAGTATCTTTTAAGCACTTCGTCCAAAAAGGCGTTACTGAAGATGTAGATACAGTAAAAACTCCTCAATGCATAACAGTTAAAAGCCGTACGCCCATGCCAGGGATGTAAGTGAGAGGCAGGCAAAGGTCGGGAAGCTCCAGAGAATCGGAAGTTGCATCGTGATTCGACATAGGAGGCAATGATGAAAGGAAAAGGAAGAAGTACGTCTGTATCTTAAAAGCAAGTTTTGACTGTTTGTTGGTATTCTGGGCGCAGGACCGTGGAGACTGTACATGTGTGCTTAACTAGTACCAAGGCACCTGTGACAGATCGACTCCATATGATAACGTTGTGGGGTTTAAGTAGCGATGTTCTATGCAGATAGCCACGCGACGATCCAGACGTGATGGAAAGAAGGGAGATGATGAATGCTGAAGTGAGCAGAACTTACGAATTCGTAGATAGAGATGGATTTACCTCGCGTGGTCACGAGACGGCTCTATAAACGCCACACTCCTGTCTAAGACACCCCCTGCGTCCTACACGACTTGCCCAAAAAGTCAGCCCCAAAATGCCTGAACTTCCGCCCGTTCTTGCGCCCGCCCTCCCTCTGGTGGAATACTATACGCCATGGTCTACGCCGTGGACATAATCACCTACGTCGGCATCCCTCTCGCTGTGCTCGGCGTCCTCCCTACTATCTACACCGCGTTCAAGGTCCTCCTCACCCTGCGCGAGATCCAGCGCACCCTCAAGAAGAATGGAGTCTCAGCCATCACGCGCAGTGCTCTGCTGTCCGGCATCGTCGAGATCGAAATCCCTCGAAAAAGTATCCACCCATTGCACCGCTCCGACCCGCCATATTTCCAGCTCTCGAAAACCCCGTCCACCCTGAAAGGCGGCAGCTGGACGGTGTTCAATTGGAAAGAGATGGTTATCGGGGTCAAAGCGTACAGGATACAATACCACGACGAGCTCAGCCAGCCACAGGCCGAGATTGATTTCGAGCAGCTCGTTGCTTTCCTGCTGGATAGAGGAGCAGTGCCCGACAAGGCAGGCTTCAGCGACTTGAGGAGCTCAGGACTATGGACGCCTGCAGGCACAAAGCTGCTTCTTGCGCCGACAACGTCCGACGCGGTGCTCATGGTTGCAACATCTGACGATTCCGACGGCATACTCTCCCTCTCGCTACACTGGAAGAAGGAATGGGACCTCAGGAACTCCGACTCTATGCCGCCATACTGGACGCGCATCGACCCGCCCTCAGAAGGCGACAATGTCCCGCTCGCCCTCAACGGCTCGAAACCCGAGCCCCCCAAAGAAGAGAAAGAAGGCTTCCTAGAAGACGACAGCGACCAAGACAGCGGCCTCCTCTCTCTCCACACGCCCTCCCCCATCCGCCTCCGCATTGGCTCCTCGGGCATCGAAGAAGCCTACTCAGAAGCCTCCCCCAAAACGCGCCTCTCCCTCCCCCACCTCCACGATCAAAGCCCCGCCTCCGCCTACTCCCCCTCGAGCTTCTGGTTCTCCTGCGCAGCCACGGCCCTGGGCGCGCCCAAAGGCGGCCTGTGGAGCTTCGCAATCCCCGCCGACGTGCTCGCCGTCGCGCGCCGCGAGACGGTCCCGTGCGGCGTCCTGGTCCTTCTCGGCCTGCTGACCGACGACGACGTGCCGACGTGGCGCACGCCGAGCGACGACAACGCCGAGAACTTCGAGCGCCACATCCGCTTCACCGAGCAGGCGCGGCGCATCGCCGACGAGCTGCGGCTGCCGCTCGACCAGCAGGCGGCGGCGCGGCAGAAGCGCATCCGCGACGACGCGACGAACTTCCACAATGAGAGCCGCCGCCGGCAGCTGCGCGAGGACCAGCGGCGCGAGCAGGCCGTCACCGAGGCGATGCTGAGCCAGAAGCTGGGGATCAAGATCGTGGCGGAGGCGTGCTTGACGTGGCTGGTTAAGAAGAGCTATGTAAAGGAGGAGACATCGGTTGCGGATGTGGTGGAGCAGGTCTTGTGGGCGATGATCCAGGACGAGGCCGTTGCGACGAAGATGGCGACGATGTTGGATCATTGGAAGAGCTGGAGTCAGAGCGGGGGCATGACCAAGGCGCATTATGCGATGTTGAGGGAGAATCAGAGCGCGTTTGCGCTGGCGGCGTGTGTGTTGTTTGTGATTAAGACGACGACGGCGGAGCCGACGGGGAGTGTGGTGTCGGATTTGCAGGAGTGTTTGAGGATTTGGAAAAGAGTGAGGTTGGGCTGATGGACGTTTTGCAATATATACCCAGATATGGGAGGTCTTTTGATTGTACCACGCTCTGTGGAGTGATTCAGTGCTCCGTTGAAATTACATGTTAGATGTAAAATCTCTCGCGCCGTGAATCAAACTGAAATCTAAGCTACAAAGTGACATTTGTTACAGTAGCCCAGATGCTAGCCCGAACTACGACGCAACGTACCATAAACCACGTGCTAGTTCTTTATGGCGTGCTAGAAACCTCTAGGCAGGGTCAATCTTACACCACATGCCAGTCCTTTGATGGCGTGCTGTAAAAGACTCATTACGTATGAACAAGGTAGTAGATATAGCGGCCTGATTTATAGTGTTACGACCCTGATATCGCATCTTGATCTTGGATGACGTACTGGGAAACTTCAGAAATCCAGACAAGTGAGGAAAGGCAGCTCAGACGTCTGTCTAAATGGCGACGTAAACTGGATTTTGACGATCATTTGCGATGTGATATAAATGATATTAGACCCTGGCTTTTGGCCATTTATTGAAGTCCTGCAGAGATGCCAAGATCACTTTGGAGAATGCACATTTCCAGACTGAAGCATAACGAGCGTTGTCAGTCACCAGACTCACTCTGCACAGTCATATGAAGTGATTGTTTTACATGAATTCATGAAAGTGCCTGAGACCTATCCTACGTATAGAAGCCCATAATCCTACATGATTCTCGCGGGTGCGCGCCGTGCTCCACCCGAAGTCCTACTGCATTCCAGCAGCTTAACCTAGTAGTTATTGTTGTTGTTGCCAGAGTTACCATACGAGGAATCCTGGTTGGTGGATCCGTACGAGGAGTCTTGGTTCGACCCTCCATAAGAGTCATCGTTTCCTCCGAAGCCCTTCTCCTCGCGCTTGGCGCGGCCCTTCTCAGCGATGTTGTCGTTCTTGAACACGCCGCCGGCCTTCTCCAAGAGCTTGCCCACGGTGGAGTCTGTTGCATGTTAGCAAGTGAATGATGAGAGATAGTGGAGAAGAAGGGAATACGTACCACCACCCTTCGAGTTCGAGTTGTCATCATTACCTCCGGCCTTGTTGCCATAGCCAGCACCGCCAGTGGTTCCGCTTCCGTAGGAGTCGTTCCCGCCGCTGTACGGTGTGGTCTCATCGGACTTTCCGTACTTGGTGTTGCTGCTGTCGAAGGTGCTGTCGTCGTTGCCGGAGGTCTTGTTGCCAAAGCCAGCTCCGCCTGTGGTACCTGACCCGTACTGGTTGCTGGAGGAGTCCTAGAGCGATATTAGATACATGACCGAGGCTCGTTTAGCTCAAGGAAGCTTACATCTCCGTAAGAGTCGTTGTTGTCGGAGCGCTTGGTGCTGCCATAGGAATCGTTTCCCCCTAGGCCTCCCGTGGTGCTGGAGTCATTGCCCTGTCCGTAGGAGTCTCCTCCTTGGCCACCAGTGTTGCCCTGTCCGTAAGAGTCTCCTCCACCGAGGCCACCAGTGCGGCTAGAGTCTTGGGTCTGTCCAAAGGAGTCGTTGCCCTGTCCGTAGGAGTCTCCTCCTCCAGTGCGGCCGGAGTCTTGTCCGTAGTTGGACGAGTCTCCTCCGCGCTGGTTGGAGCCGTAGCTGTCGTTGTCGTTGTAGTTAGACATGATGAGTTGAAGTGAGGCAAAGTTCAATTGAAAGTGGTGAAGAATGTGTGAGTATAGAGGATGTATTGAGAGTGACGGACAATGAAACAGCAGAGGCGGGCCTATTTATGCGCAACTACATAGCTCGAACAAACAAGTGCAAAGCAGGCTCGGAGGGGTTGGAGGGGTAGAATGGGACCACTAGCGCATGTCGTCACCAAGGTCAGCTGTATGCAAGAGATCGGAACGGGAGTCGATTTCAGCTGCGGCGATCACCACCAGCCACCATTGCTGCCCATCTGCGGCAAGCCTCGTCCGCTCTGTTGCCCGAGTGGTCCGTTCTGTGGCGGCTTGGACCCCTGGGTGCATCGCGACCCCACACTTCGCCACCTCGGCTTCTTGAGCTGGTTGCGGTCCGCCTGCTTCGAGCCACCAGGCAATAACTTGATCTGTTGCTGGTAAGTCGCTCGGCCTGTCCGGTTGTCCGAGCGAGGTATTGCGAGGGTACCTGCGGATTATGAACGTGGGGCCTTCCAAGATTCTCACGCGCTAGACGATGGATGCATCAAAATGAATCTGCGGAGGCTGAGCATATTGAATTGACATGCGAGGCCCTTGCTGCCCATGACGATGGCGTCGACCCTGGAGGAGGATTCGCGCCATGGATTGCAGCATGGATAGCGGTGCCTTCAGCTTGTTTGTTCCAGTTCGAGTCGGATCATCAGAAGATAACGCTAGGTGGGACATGATGCATGCGTCACTTTCTGCCCCTCCAGTCCAGTCCATTGGCCAATCGGAGTTGAAGCGAAGGCGCCCAGCACCAAGGACGCCAAAGACGCAAAAGCACGATGGATTCAGCTCAGCGCACGTACTTGCCCTTTTGCCACGCGTTAGCCACGGTATGCCCGACGATGCCAGCAACGGGGTAACTCACCATGAAGCGCTTGTGGAAATCCGACCGCAGCATGTCGTTGACGAATTCCTTTTTCTTCTTGTCCTCTGTGCCTCTGGCTTGGTTCTTGAATACGACGTCGTCGTCCCATCTGCGCCCTGCATTAGCCGAGACCCGCCCGATAGTGGCACAGTGCATACCGTCGCTTGAGGTTGAAGTCCTTGGGGTTGAGTAGCGGATTTCCGCGAGCTATGTCGAACTCGCGTTGCTCCTCTTCTTCAGCTGCTCGCTCCGCTTCCTGCAGGTTCTTAGTATCTAGTATGCATGTGCCCGCATGAGTACACATACCTCCTTGGCTTTCGCCTCTGCCCGTTCCCGCTTGATCTTCTCGAGCTCTCGCATCAGCTCTGCTGTCTCATCCTCTTCATCGTCGCTAAATCAAAGTCAGTATTACCCTGACTGAAAAGCTTATAGTTCCTTCCTACTCTTCATCACTACTGTCACTGCTCTCACTACTGCTGCCATCAGAATCTGCATCGATGTCCTTGGCCTCCTCCAGTATCATCCGCCGCCGCTTCGCTTCGGATTCCTCGTTGTCTTCGTCGTCTGCGGTGGATGCGTCTAACAATCGCTTGGATGCTGCGGATGTGGTATCGAAGGTGTCGTCTTGTTCTGCGATGGCTCCGCCGTTCTTGTTTGCGAAGTGTGCTGCCTCAGCTTGGAGTAGTTCTGCGCGGAGGTCGCGTATGCTGGTGTCTGCGTCTCCACCTTGGCCAGGTTGCCTTTTGCCCGTCAGATCGATGCTTTTAGATGGTGACTTAGGACTATACCTGTGCTTGAGGACCTTGTGAGCTGGGAGGAGCCGTTGGTGATACGCCGGTCCGCGCTGCGCGTCTTTTCCGCGGGCCTAAGCTATTAGCCAACGTTTTCTAGGTGGGCTCTGGATGAGCTTACGGGATCAAACGTAGGCCTGTGAGCTGTAGTCATCGTGTGTAGGGAGCGCGATGGTTGTAGAGGTCGTCAGAATAAGATGTTGATCGTCGAGAGGCTCAACTTGCACTGCGAATTCGTGAGACATGGATCGGCCTTGGCGCGATTAGTTTTGCCGAAGATCAGCCTTTCACCTGTAAATTTCAAGCCAGGAAGGAAAGCGCGTTCCCCTCACTCATGAATATCGAAGATGCCTCGCGCAGCTGAGATATCTGTCAATGAACGCGAGTTCATTCTGCAAGGTCTCAAGGAGAACATCCGCCTAGATGGCCGACCCTTTGACGCCTTCCGAAGTCTCGAGCTCAATTTCGGCGACGAGCATGGCGTCGCAGATGTCCAGTTAGGCAAGACTAGGTGAGATGACATCGAAAAGCTGTTCAGGATCGCACTAATAGAATACCCAGAGTGATTGCAAGAGTGTCCGCAGAAGTCACTGCGCCCTTTGTAGATCGCAAATTCGATGGCATTTTCAACATCAGCACCGAATTCTCGCCAATGGCGTCGCCTGCATTCGAAATCGGCCGGTATGCAATCCCCTAGACTCAATTTTACATGTCTCAAGCGCCCTAACCCAGCTCATAGTCCTACAGAAGCCGAAAACATCCTTTCCCGAATCCTTGAGAAAGCTATCCGTCGCAGTGGAGCCCTCGACACCGAGTCACTCTGTATTATCGCAGGCTTGAAATGCTTCTCACTGCGCGCCGACCTACACATCTTAGACCATGACGGTGGGCTGATTGATGCGTCCTGCATCGCAGTCATCGCCGCTTTACAGCATTTCCGGCGACCGGACGTAGCGGTGGAGGGCGAGAATGCGACGATCTTCAGCATACGAGAACGCGAACCGATACCACTGTCAATCCTCCATCACCCAATCTGTGTGACCTTCTCATACTACAACGCTGGAGAAATCATGCTGATGGACGCCAACCTTGCTGAAGAGCAGGTCCGCGAGGGAGAAGCGGTGATTACAATGAACAGACATGGCGAAGTCTGTCAAATCGCCAAGTATGGGGGTGTTTCGGTGGACCCAATGGCTCTACTGAACTGCACTAGTGTCGCGCTGGAAAAAGTCAAGGACATCACTAAATTCATCCAGCGGAGATTGGAGGAGGATGCGAAGAAGAGAGATGTCGGTGGCTTGATTGCGGAACTCAGCGCTGAAAACGCTAGATGATGGGCGGTACGCCATACGACGAGGCCAGTCGACTTGTGCAAACTCCTTGATCAAAGGACTGACGAAGTGGATCTTGCTTGGAAGCATGTCAGATGGGCACGAGTCCTCGATGATATGAGATACCCTTCTGGATTGGGTATAAAGGCTTCGAAACAGCGTTCGTACGAAGTCGCGCGAACTGGTGCAAATGCCGCACGAATAATT